CGCGACCCATTACGAAGAAAGATACAGCGAGAAACTGAGTGAGTTATGTCTATGGGTTAGGTTGCATATCAAACTAGTTGGAAGTAGTAGTTCTAATGAAATACGTACTCAATAAATGTTCACGATTGACTTCCACGGTGAAGGAATAACATCGTGTAAATAAAAGTGAAACCCGCAAAATTATAATTTACGTAATTACTGGTGGTAGAACCTGTTGTGAGTCCGCGCGGTTAGGTACCACCACCCCGCCTATTTCCGCCGTGAAGCAGTAATGCGTTTCGGTTCGAAGGGTGGGGTAGCCGTTGTAACTATACTGAGACCTTAGAACTTATATCTCGAGGTGGGTGGCGCATTTACGTTGTAGATGTATATGGGCTCCAGTAACCACTCAACATCAGGTGGGCTGTGAGCTCGTCCATCCATCTAAGCAATAAAAAATAAAGAGTTTTACCGAAATAAAATCGCCAGTACATACGGCGCGTTGTTATTAATTTTACTTGGATCATACAAGCGCATTTATTTTAAGAAACTCACATATGACAAATACACAATTGTATTGTAATGCTACGTATAACTTAGAAAATATACATACGAACAGTTATTCCTTGTGCGCGCACGGCTATTGTTAAGGAAATAACAATAAATACTTATGAAATATTAAACCTAACTTGTATGAACTAGGGCAGATGACACGCTCTGGTTTAAAATCAACATTAGCGTTCTACTTCCATGTGAGAACGTAACTTTTTTTTATTTTTTTTATTGCTTAGATGGGTGGACGAGCTCACAGCCCACCTGGTATTAAGTGGTTACTGAAACCCATAGACATCCACAACGTAAATGCGCCACCCACCTTGAGATATAAGTTCTAAGGTCTCAGTATAGTTACGACGGCTGCCCCGCCCTTCAAACCGAAACGCATTACTGCTTCACGGCAGAAATAGGCAGGGTGGTGGTACCCACCCGCGCGAACTCACAAGAGGTCCTACCACCAGTAATTACGCAAATTATAATTTTGCGGGTTTCATTTTTATTACACGATGTTATTCCTTCAACGTGGAAGTCAATCGTGAACATTTGTATTCTATTCAAAACAGAAGATTCACCATAACTTGTTGAATTGGCAAAGTGAAATCAAGATTGTGTTGAAATTTTTAGTGGGTCAATAGGTTGACAGAAATGTATGTATCAAGGAAATAGGTAGTATGCAAGTGATCATGATCTCTTATGTGAATTTTAGAAACGCATTTCGTAAGTGAATCTGTTTTGAATTTGGTGACGATGATTTTCTACATTTATTGTGTAATAGATGTAAACAAAAAAATTTTTTTGAAGACATAATAACTCGTAGATGTTATATAGTTATTAGCTCCAAAAATATACATAGCTTATTTCTTAAGTCGTATTATTCAAGTCGACGTGGCCTAAAGGATAAGACGTCCGGTGCATTCGTATGTAGCGATGAACCGGTGTTCGAATCCCGCAGGCGGGTACCAATTTTTCTTACGAAATACGTACTCAACAAATGTTCACGATTGACTTAAATTCCACGGTGAAGGAATAACATCGTGTAATAAAAATAAAACCCGCAAAATTATAATTTTGGTAATCACTGGTAGTAGGACCTCTTAGGAGTCCGCACGGGTAGGTACCACCACCCCACCTATTTCCGCCGTGAAGCAGTAATGCGTTTCGGTTCGAAGGGTGGGGTAGCCGTTGTAACTATACTGAGACCTTAGAACTTATATCTCGAGGTGGGTGGCGCATTTACGTTGTAGATGTCTATGGGCTCCAGTAACCACTTAACACCAGGTGGGCTGTGAGCTCGTCCATCAATTTAAGCAATAAAATAATAATAATAATAAACGACACAAAGAAAATAGGTAGTAACTTTGGGACATCATACAAGTATATGGATAATAGCAATATAATAAATAGAATAGATGTTGAATACATTAATTTGTAAATCTGTTTTATAAAAAAATCAAAAATAACGAACAAAATGCTATTAATAATTTAATTATTTTCACAATTATGTAACACAAGGAAAATCGATGCGAATAGCATTAATCCATAAAAAATAAGCATGACGCTTTTAACATTAACTAGAGGTCCCGCAGTAGTCGAAATTCGACTATAATTGATTGAAATTGTAAGTTTGTACACTATTATGATTCTATTTTCAAAGCCTATTTATTATACTTCTATAATCACAAATTTCGCCAAGACTACACTATAGAAAAATATTAATAAAGACAAACAATATTTAATCTATTCTCAATTTGACCACAGACGTCAAGAACAAGAGTTTGACAATAAATAAATAGTATGCATGCGCGTGTGTGTGTCAAATAATTGTATGTGTAATGTTTTCTTTATTGATTTAATGTATCTTTTATGCATTATTTAAAAAAATATTAGCTTTGCTTCTTCTCTATATTCTCTATAAGTGTGGAAAATTTCATACTCCTCCGTCCGCGCAATTTTCGTAAAAAGGGATACAAAGTTTACGCTTCACGTATTATAACATTAATTATGTATCTAAGTCAATAAACAAAGAATTATAGAGATACCGAATGAGCTAAGCAAAACCTTCCACAAAACAATTACCTAATTTTTTTCATTTATTTCGTAACTTGAACATATTTAGTGACACGCGTCTGAGTCACAGCTTCGAAATTATCTCACTGTTGGGCAACGAACTCTTCGTAATTCATTCGTGACTTGACTAGAGTACAGTGTGTAATTGTTTCTTAGCAAACAATGCGAAAAAATCGAGTCGATATTTTAGACCGATCATCAATCTTTGCATATAACTATGTTTCCTGTAACATTGTTATGTAGAACGTCTAAATCGGCTCTCAGTTCAGACTAAAATGTCCATTCTTGACATATTTAGACTCTAGCAGATGCTTAAGACAAAAATACAATGCGTTTATTATATATCCAAGTTTGAAGCAAACCTTAGATTGTGTCAAATAAGCCGAAGGATAATTATTGGTCATCAGAAGACGTGGCAAATTACCTAGAGCTATTTATCTTAATTTTGCTCAGAAAAGTGGGTCTTCATATTAATTACTTTCGTATTTCCTCTCATCGGCACAAGTTGAGATCGGACATGTTAGTATAGTTTATTCCTACTGGAATGAATTACGGGCTGGTCTGAAGGTCCGGTTTTGACCTTATGCTCCAAGGTGGACAGCAATATACATATAAAATGTGTATGGGTTCTTAATGTATGTTCCTATGGGTATAGAACAACACCAGAACTCGTTTTAACGGCGCTTTTAGGTACCACAAGCACCAGTCACCGTCCTCGTCGAATCCGTCGCTTGCGACGAAGGGCTCGACGAGCAAATTAACCCATAGACACAGCCCACTGAGTTTCTCGCCGGATCTTCTCAGTGAGTCGCGTTTCCGACCGGTGCTAGATTCTGCGAAGCACTGCTCTTGCTAGGGCCAGTGTTAGCAACACTCCGAATTGAACCCCGTAAGCTCACCTACATGTTAGGGCGAAGCTGAAATAGCCTCTCAAGGCTATCAGCATAAATAGGAAAAAAACTGTTTTAAAATTCGCCATTTACACATAATCGAAAACCCTTTTCATAATCTAAATCGATTCTAAAAATTGTACATGCCTATTTTGAATAAATTACAAAATATTTATCCGTTTCACGTTTTTCAATGATTATAGTTATAATTTGATGGTTGTCAATTAATTTCACGACCGACTAATAAGAGATTGAATTAACAAAAAACAGAAAATTTAGGTTCAATGAGGGTATGACAATATTTAATTTTATGCCAGTCAACACGTATTTTACGATACATGTTTAAAACAATTATCCAGCTACTAGACACAATGGAAAATGATCCGTAAATCACGAGTCGAACAGTAAATTAAACATCACGACAGCACATCCAATTCTAGAAGTGGTTTCCTTCATTCGTGTGAAGGTTGTGTCCGGTTTGCCATTCCGTTTCGATCTCTACAGTTTCCCGGCTTCCGTATATTCAAATAAACCTTTCAACTTTTACGCTTAACGCATCCATCCGTCGCGATGTCCGTTTTAACGATTTTTAATGTAAATATTAATAAATCATTGACAATTCCTTAGAGTTCGTTTAAGGAAGTCAGCGAATCCCTTTGCACATTGATTATTTACCATCAATTTCCGTCTCTCTTCTGGTTACAGACATGACGTGTTAATTCTGTCTATTATTATACCGTTGTTGTGAGTTCAACGCATCTTCTTTAATCGTGTGTGAAATATGTGAGATTGTTAATTCGGTTAGATGTTCCATTGTTTTTTTTATATTCGTTTTAGAAATATTAAATGTTTTATCGTGACACCATTTTTTTTTCTCGCGTTGATATTGTTTTAATTGTTCACGAAGTAAACTAATTCATTTTTGGATTACTAACCTAGTTCAAGACGTGTCAGTTTAAAATTCATTCATCCATACTTCATAGTTCTCCATACACATACAGATCTTACTTCCAAAAAGGTTAAAGGAAATGTCTGAATATAGCATCATGATCGAGATAATGTGTATAATAAATAATAAACAAACCTCAAAGTGCGACCGCATGTCAGACAGTTTAAAGAAATAAACTTAAGCATCCAGGCATATTAATCACTGAGTAACTAGCGTCCGGAGATGGAATGTAAGTAAATAATGACATAAAATATTTACGAAACATAAACTGAACAGTCTCGCTTGGTTATGCTGTTTGGGTTATGATACGGCTGACTGGTTGGCGAAGCAAGTTTAAAAGAATACACAAGTAACGGAATACAGAACACAACGTGATTCCACTATGTACTAGCAAATTTTGTAAAAAATATTTAGTATAATTACGAGTAACTAAATAACTTACATTTTAAAAGGTTGTGAACAACACAATGGTACGTTTTTATAATCTAGTTTAATGGAAATTCAAATTAAACAGCACAAAAATCAATTAGAATTAAACTATATATTTATAACATACTTACTTTTTGAACACCTAATCCTTGTTAATAAGGAACACACACTTTAAGTATTCGCGACACAATTTATCTGTAAAAACACGGGTATGATCAATACTTCTAATTGTTTTTATACTGTTAATAATTCAAATACTTGTTTGAATCTGTAATACAAATGTTCTATCTCAACGCTGACTCGAGTTCGACTGATGACGTGCGGTGCCGCGCCGCATCGCCACTGGTGCGCCAGTTTTGCATGGTACGGTTCTAAAAAGACCTATAACACCAACCAAAGCTTAAACGTAAACCGACTTTGTTGCGCAGAAAACTAAACTTATTATCATAATTGCAATATTTATTGTAGAACATTTTAGTTTTGTTCCGAATAAGTTTCGTGTCACCGTGTGTGCCGCTGTTGCTTATTTGTACGCATTTCTTTCGAGCAGGGAGCATAGGCGAAAGGACAATATCGCCACTCAACTTGTTTTGCCACGTTAAACAAGTACAAATTACGAACACATGCAATAATTATAATAATTTTATACTACTAGTTACAATTAACGAGTCACACATTGGGACTTTAGAATGTCGATCAGATTACATTTAAATTAAATACGAAACAAAATTAAGAACATAAGATTGTTTGAAAGTCGAAGACGTGTTAATGATTGATTTAATAATAGCCCTCTTTTTTAATTCTTTTTTTTTTATTGGCTGTCCATGGGGATAAGAGATTACGATGAATCTGGTCCATGACCGTTACAAATGCCATCACCCACATTGACACATTTCGTTGAGGCCTCAGTTACTAGTGGTAGGGTTTTGTGAGTCTTTTAGTGGACGAGCCTTTACCATCTTCGGCCTTAGTTTTTTCATTTTTGGCCACCGAGTCCCATGTATACCGTACGTCTCCTGGACGCGGGATCTTCTTGGAAGTTTCGCCACCGTCCTAAAAATGGGCTTTTGTGAGCAATCGCAGAAAGGTATTACCTCCCCGCCTGTTTCTGATGTGAAACAGTTTTGGTTTAAAGGCTAGAGAAGCCGTTGTACTATAAAACTGAGACTTAGAACGCATGCCTCAAGTTGGATCGCGGCATTTGCGTTGTTGATGTCCGTGGGCTCCTGTGACCACTTAAAACCAGCTGTGCCATGAGCTCGTGATTCCATCTAATCAATAAATAAAAAGGTAAACCGTCTATCACATGCTTCAAATAGAAACAAACTGCTTTGGGGTAGAAATAGAGCTGTAGTACCTCTCCACCCACAAGACTACATGGTACTGCCAATATTAAAATTGTAATCTAATATATGTACGTATAATTAGCACAATTTATTTAGAATTTTCCACCTGAGCGAGGATACTTGATGGCTTTAGAATCGCATTTCTGTATGAACATACATCACTTACAGACAAACGAACAATATGTAAACAATACTAAGTAAGTATGTTTGGTTTTTGTTGTTTGGTAGGTAATCTTAGCCTTGTATTGGAATTACAGACAGACATTTAAATTTTTATTCATCTATATATTAATACGTGAAGCAAAAACTTTGTATCCCTTTTTACGAAAATTGCCCGGACGGAGGAGTATGAAATTTTCCACATTTATAGAGAATATAGAGAAGAAGTGCACAATGCAATTTTTTTTTTAAATAATGCATAAAAGATTCTTTAAGTCAATAAAGAAAACATTATACACACTACATACCATGTATTTGACGCACACACGCATGCATACTATTTATTGTCAAACTTTTGTTCTTGACGTCTGTTGTCAAATTGAGAATAGATTAAGTATTTTTTGGTTTTTCTTAATATTTTTTATAGTGTAGTCTTGGCGAAATTTGTGATTATAGAAGTATAAAATACAATCATAATAGTGCACAAACTTACAATTCCAATTAATTATAGTCGAATTTCGACTACTGCGGGACCTCTAGTTTATACCTAGTCAGGTCATAAATTCTGTCACATGTTTAATGTAAAATAATTGAAACAAGTTTATTCATTATGTAACCATTCATATACCAAAATGAACTTAACAAAACATAGATTCTTATGACACTAAAGTTTATTCAAAATGACCTCCGTGATTTTGAATACAGGCCTTCAATCTGCGCGGCCAGTCGTCTATCGCAGCACGAACGAGGTCCATGTCAATATCGGCGGCTGCCTTAATCAAGGATGTCTTGAGTGACTCCAAATTGGGATGAGGCTTTGAGCACGCCTTTTCCTCCAAGTGTTGCCATATCTTGTAATCTAACGGATTCAAATCTGGACTGGAGGAGGGCCAGTCTTCGTGCCGGATGAAGTCGATTTCACGCGCCGCCAGCCAGTCTTGTGTGCTCTTCGCTCTATGAGCTGGCGCCGAATCTTGTTGGAATACCCAGTGCCTGTTATTGAACATGGTATGAGAAACAGGTTCCACAAGGTTCGTCAGGACTGTATTTTGATACACAACTGCATTCGTTTTTACACCTTTCTCACAAAAATGTACCTCTGTTAAGCCCCAATAAGAAACTCCCAACCATACCATGAGCGAGGATGGAAAATGACCTCGTTGGACACGCGGAATACGGTTGCTCGCTTCTTCACTACTGTGTGCGTACACCTTATCATTTTGTTTGTTGTAGCTCTCTTCTACGGTAAAAATTTTTTCATCCGAAAAAAGAATTTCCCGATATTTTTTTCCCGCGTACCGCTTCAACAAAGCGCGGCATCTCTTCAGTCTCAGGTCCATTAGACGAGCATTCAAACGATGTCCTGTTTTTCTTCGATATGCCCGAAGCCCTAAGTCTTCATTTAACACCCTTTTCACCGTGGTTCTGCTTAACCCCATCTGAAGGGCCAACAGTTTCTGCTTATGTTTGGGATTTCTTTGAATTCGCGCCTTCACAGCTTTTATCACTACTGGAGTCCTAACAGACCGAGGGCGACCACTTCTTGACCTGTCATCTACACTAGAGTCTTCATTGTATCCTTTGATGGTACGATAAACGAATCTTTTGGTTATATTCAACTTTTTCAGTATGTTAAAAATTTGAATTGGCGCGTAACCGCAACGATGCAACGCAATAACTGAAACACGGTCTTCTTTAAGCGTCTACTCCATATTGTAAAAGTGAGTAAAATTCTAAAAGTATACATTTTTATTTTCATGAACAATTCGAAATTCGAATTCAATAAACTTTTTTGTGGCCAGCATTCTAAAAGAAAAGTTTTTACTGTGTGACAATACTTATGACCTGACTAGTTATAGTTATGGAAATTAGTTACGCTTCAGAGTGTAGATCACCTGCGAGCAAGCAGCCCACCTAATGTTAAGTAGCTATTGTCGGCCGAACCCAGCTCAGCCTGAAGGCTAACACTTGGAGACATGAGGTAATCGTCTCAATTGTACGGTTAAAACAGCTTTTTCTATTTCCGTGGTGGGCTATGTTAAGGTCCTTTTGATGTTACTTGGTTATAGGCGTCCGTGGACATCAATCACAACGTGAACGCCTCTATCATCCTTGAGTCAAGTGGTCGAAGTCTCATTTGTATTGTATACTAGCTGACCCGGCAGACTTCGTAGTGCCTCAATCGATAAATAAAAGACACATCAAGGGGACACATCAAAGGAAAAACAAAATTGCTTGTTTTTATATAATTCCGAGCTTTTATATTTTCTCACCTTTTAAACCTTCCCTGGACTTCCACGAATAATTCAAGACCAAATTTAGCCAAATCGGTCCAGCCGTTCTCGAGTTTTAGCGAGACTAACGAACAGCAATTCATTTTTATATATAGAGAAGAAGATGTATGTCCTTTAATGTATAACTGTTTCACGGCAAAAGTAGATAAGGTACTTCCTCATCTTCCCTTCCCTTGTGCGGGATCATCATACGTTGTTATTTTTTTTTCTATTTATTCGTTGGTAGCCTAAGAGGCTATTCCAGCTACGCCTGGACGGGTAGGTGAGCTCACGGGCTCAACCTTTTGAGAGAATTTGCTAACACTAGCCCTAGCAAGAGCAGTGCTTCGCAGAATCTACCGCTGGATCGGAATCGCGACCCACGAAGATCCGGGGAGAAACTTAGTGGGCATACGTCGTGTAGTTGGTGGATTTGAATCTCAAATCTTGAATCTCGTAGCCTACACCCATTACCATTGGATCAAGATAACTTTACATTGAAATGTTACGACTGTTATCTTGATCCCATGATGAGCTCTATGACTCCTGCGAGGCAGAAATATCCTGAATAGAAACCCTAACAAGAGCGTTAAAATTATCTGGCCCAAAACAGGTCAGTCCGGCTAATGTGCACGCGTGTGTGGGCAAAGTACTTTCACACGTCGACGGGCACGCAGCCTTCGATGCTTACTGATCTGAAAAATAAGTATAAATATTCAGTTACGGTATAATCGGTTACAAAAACCCTAAAGTTTCTTTTTTTTTATTGCTTAGTTTGTGGGAAAGACCAATCCATTAATAATTGGTGAGCCTATAGTCAACGCAATGTGAATTCCGGAGCCATCTTAAGGACAAGATTGAAGATATTATTGCGTAATGACAGTTCACTTTCAATGAGTGAAACGCAAATAAAATAACAGCTGCACACTTTGAGGGAATTTTCATCGTTCAGTATGAGATTTTTCTGATGACAGCATCAGACTAGTTAGTTCTCATTTCGGTACTATACCGAATTCAGGTCCCTACGATATTTCGGTCGTCCCACCAGCAAACCCGACGGCTGATCAACCAAAAATTGCGGGGAAAAAAAGAGGACATCAGGTTTTTTTATTGCTGTTACTGGTGAGCACCTGAACGTAAGCAGCTACTCTCGATTATGGGCATAATCAATGCCAAGCGGTCGCCCAGATAATATTGATGTACTGTACAGCGACGACAGTCTCATCGCTCCTGACCATCGTCAAAATTTAGTGATGGGAACATCTCGAACAATTCCGTGGAGCACTCTTCCCGTTTCTCCACATATTTTTTTTTTATTGCCCTTGTAGGCAGACGAGCATACGGCCCACCTGATGGTGAGTGGTTACCGTCGCCCACAGACTTCAGCAATGCCAGTACGTGGCAAAAAAGATCTCTGGAAACGCACTGTGGATGAACGCAGTGGCTCCAGGTAATCATCACATCACTACTTTACACTCGAGCAATGGTCCTATCGGTTTCCAAATAAATCACAATAATATAAACAAACGTAGTTAGCCAAACAAGACGACAGGTTTTTTATAAAAAACAATAAAGACGTAAGTCGACGAACGGACAATGCGGTTACACGCGCCCCTGATGACCCTATATCAGCAGACGGTATGGGCCATCGACCGCCGTACCGTAACCTAGAATTCCCCTCGATTGACGAAGCACGTGGCTCAGATCGGTGACGAAAAGAAATGTTACAGAACTTTGGCAGATAGGGAGACGGCTGCGGTCGTAGTATCGATACGATATCCCGATACCAGTGTATGGTCGGATCAATAACTATAATAATAATAATAATAATTAGCCCTTTAAACTGGGTGAGATTTATCTTTGTGATTGGATCTTTTGGTTTGTTTGTTTATAAGATGTCTCTCAACTCAGTGTGCCTTCTGGCAAAGGCCTCCTCCAGTAGTCTCCATTGTTTTCTATCTTGAGCAACTCTTCTCCATTTGGGTCCGGCGGTAAGTTTCAGCTCATTTTCCCATCGCANTAAGATGTCTCTCAACTCAGTGTGCCTTCTGGCAAAGGCCTCCTCCAGTAGTCTCCATTGTTTTCTATCTTGAGCAACTCTTCTCCATTTGGGTCCGGCGGTAAGTTTCAGCTCATTTTCCCATCGCATTTGTTGACGTCCTCGACACCTCTTGCCATCTCTTGGATACCAGTTCGTTATAATTTGACTCCACTTTTCTAACTACACAGGAAAAAAAAAAAAAAAATCTAGCCCTTTTTTTTTTAAAGATTCATTAACTTTTTTGAAAAATGTAATTTGATACCCTACACCCTATGATTAGATACAGTGGTCACAAATGTGAACATATTCCCACATTTTTTTGTATTAGCTACCTAAGTAACATAACTATGAATTGCAGTTCCAAATAGGACCAAAACATTCGTAGTTTTTAATATAAAAATAAAATAAACAATCTTTTTTCTTGAAATTTTAGAATATTTTAACTTTTAATCAACTTTAACATGCTACTGTGTAATAAAAATGGATGAAATGTACTAAAGCATGTTATTACAAAAGATAGCGCAACTCATCACAATTCTGAAATGGTGCTTGCTGCAATACTATGACAACACTTGCAAAAATTCTAAGAATTCTCTTAACAAGACACAAAAAGGATTATTGAGCTTAGTTTTTGAAAACATTACTTACTGTTCAAAAAAGGATTTTGAGACTGTTTCAATGAAAGTCATAATGAGAAATTAAGATATTTATTGCGTACTTAAATGAAATGTTCAAATTGTTGACCATCTACGTCAAGACACTCGTAACAACGCCTTAAAAATGATCTTTTAATGAGTCTCCGTTATACCCTTCTGTTCATATTTTCTGCAGCCTCCAAGATTCTTTGACGCTTCGTCAACTGTTGCCATTGTTTTGGCATAAACTTTATCTTTCAGGCAACCCCAGTTAAAGAAATCCAGTGGATTTAAATTCATCTATCTATTTTATCATCATCTATTCTATATTCATCTATTCTATTCGAAATGGCCACTTTTGGCTTTTATACAGGCCTTTAATTTGTATGGCCACGGATTTACGCACTGCTTCCAAGGGAAATTTCGGCACTCCTTGCTCCAAAGATTTTTTTAAAGTCCCAAAGTCGCCGTGTAGCTTAGAGCAGGCCATGTCCTCTAAACTTGACCATAATTTGAAGTCTAAAGGGTTGAGGTCTGGGCCAGATGAGGGCCAGTCTTCAGCTCTTATAAAGTCCGGAATGTTGCTTTCAAGCCAAGATTGGGTAGTTCGTGCCCTTTGACCAGGTGCAGAGTCGGTATTGTTGAGAGGTTTCACAACATGATCCAAGACTGTATCTTGATACACTTTGGCTGAAGTTTTCATTCTTTTTCACAAAAATGTAGTTTTGTGAGTCGTTGATAAGACACGCCCCACCAAACCGTCACTGACGCAAGATGATGACCACGTTGTACCCTTCCGAACACTTGAGCAGCTTCTTTAGAACTGTGAGCGTATACTTTATCATTTTGCTTATTGTAGTGCTCTTCAATCGTGAAAATGTTTTCATCGCTAAAGAGGAGATTTCTGTGCCTTTCACCTGCGTATCGCGACAGAAGGCGTTTTGGTCGATCCACTCTCTTTAATTGTAAAAATTGATTTAGGGCATGTCCTATATATCGACGATAAGCACAGAGCTTGCAGGTCTTGTTTTATAATACGCGATAGAGTCCTAGCGGGAATCTTCATTACTGTGATAAGATCAGTCATAAGATTTTTTTGCTTCCTAATGGGGTTTCGATGAATTCTGGCTTTAACAGCCTTAAAAGCCTTTGTAGTTTTAACAGCATACATACGGCTGATACCAAGCTTTTGAAGTGTCTGGATTAAGACCAACGGCTTCATACCCACTTTGTGCAAGGCGATCACTGCAATCCTATTTTCTTTAAACACCCTCATTCCACATTGTAATTTGATAATGAATACGAAAAAAATATGTGAAATGGCGCAAAATCGAAAGAAGTTTTTAAAATAATATACATGTTCCAAATTCAAAATAATTAAAAAGTTAAAAAAAGGAAAAGTTTTTATGTAACAGTATTTATGGCCAGACTAGTAAGATGGGCTCAACTTATTGCCGAGTTAGTCTTAGGCTTTTTTGTGCATTTATTTATTTATGTACTAGCTGAACCGGCAACCATTGTTTTGCGTTAAATAAGATTTCTAGGGAATTTCTAGTGTAGAAAAAAAACTAACTTATTGTAAATGTGTAAAGATGTGGTAAATGAGTGAAAGAGGTATGTAGTGCTGTGAACGATGAGGGAATATATAATAAAAATAACAAAACCTCATTCAACCACATAATACCTCATTATAACAAAAAAAAATGTCCAAATAAAAAAATATATGTTAGGGGTGGACAACCCTAATCACTTAGGGGTATGAAAAATAGATAGTAGCCGATTCTCAGGCTTACTGAATATGCATAAAAAAATTCATGAGAATCGGTCAAGCAGTTTCGGAGGAGTATGGGAACGAACATTGTGACACGAGAATTTTATATATTAGATTGATGAACTTGTATATTACAAGTTAGGTTATACAATTATATTATAATCGTAAAAATATATTATAGTCGTAAAAAAGACATCAGTTCTCGTACACCCTTCAGTAAGCCTCCTTCCTGTGTTCCATAGTGTAGGGAGATTTTCCCCGATAGAGGGGTTCCGATGGGCCTCGGAATCCCGCTACGTGCCTCCGTAAGGGCGTACGATATCCCGTGATTAATTATTATCTCTATGCGAGTACGTTCTCTTGATGAGAACCGCCTCAATTATATCTCAAGTTCACTCAAAGCCTACTTAGTAATTATACTAAATACTGCTAGATTTATCACTAAGCACGATAAAAAAAACGTATGAATTTTCGTCGAATTCATTAAATTTCATTCATTGTAACGAATGATTTTAAAAATTTTAGTTAGTACCGATTGCATATGATTATAACAAGTAAATTCTGATAAGATTACAAAGTAGAACAGATTACGACAAAGTTCGATCAGAGATTATAGGTTGGACTGTATCTTGTATTTCGTAAATCCTATGGATAGTTTAATTTTAACGAATAAAACCTGCCGCACACATGAGTAATTGTTGCTAAGCCACGACTGTTTGTTGAAAATACTTTTAACTTCTGTCGCCTATTGTGCGTAAATGGTAATAAAGTAAAAACTTCGCTGAGTTTCCAGAATGTCCGTAGCTAGTTTCAAGTTTTTTTTTATTGCTTAAATGGGTGGACAAGCTCACAGCCCACCTAAAGTTAAGGATTACTGGAGCCCATAGACATCTATAACTTAAATGCGCCACCCACCTTGAGATATAAGTTCTAAAGTCTCAAGTATAGTTACAACGGCTGCCTCACCCTTCAAACCGAAACGCATTACTGCTTCACGGCAGAAATAGGCAGGGTGGTGGTACCACCCGTTCGGACTCACAAGAGGTCCTACCACCAGTAATTAATTACGCAAATTATAATTTATCATATAAACGAAGCGAAGGCCTACGTTATGTAGAAAGAAGCATTAATTGCCGTGTTCTTAATAGTTTGACCACTATCTGTCTATGCAACAGTATCTTTCAAATTAATTTTCACCAACTTCCAAAGGTCCAGTTAAGTTTAAAATTTGCTCACGTGGTGGCGGGGTTCGCTCTGTTATATCACCGAGCCCCTATTCAACAATAAGCCGTGAAAAAGTAAAAGAAGACAAGACAAGACAAGTAAGAAACTGCGTCGTCAAAGTACTAGAAATTTTCCATACTAACAATATGTACTATAAAGTTTCAAAACATGTCATTACGGATCCTCCCGATCCATTAATGGTGCTTTTAGGTACCACAAGCACCGGTCACCGTCCTCGTCGAACCCGTCGCCTGCGACGAAGGTCGAGGACGAATCAACCCATAGACACAGCCCACTGAGTTTCTCGCCGGATCTTCTCAGTGGGTCGCGTTTCCGATTCGGTGGTAGATTTTGCGAAGCACTGCTCTTGCTAGGGCCAGTGTTAGCAACACTTTCGGTTTGAGCCCCGTGAGTTCACCTACATGTTAGGGCGAAGCTGAAATAGCCTCTCAAGGTTATCAGCATAGGAAGGAAAAAAAACAAAAAAGTTATACACAAGATATTTTTAATATATTTTTAACTAATCCTATTTATTATTTATTGAAAGAAGATTTGAACTATTTTTCAATTTTGATTCATTCAATAAAAACCCTCAAAAAAAGCAATGTTAAATTTACTTTGAAGTCTGAAGGTAAACTGTCGAAAATCTCATTCGAAAATGTAATCAGATAGGCAATTTTGTCGTTTTTAAAAGTAATCAAATATAGTAAGTAGGTACAACATCGATTTTTAAAAGCAGGTGAAGGCATGACCAATTTCATATGATAAGTGTAATATAAAATAATATGCATATCAGCGGATTTATCGGTTTATACGCCACGTATTTGTATAATATTTTATAGTAGTGTTAGTGAGCACAAAGGATGCGGTTGTCTCATTGGATGGCTTTGGCCGTCCTTTTCGGAGGTAACACGGATTTATTTTTTAATTATTTTTATATGAAAAAAACGCATTCATAATTAATTAGAGACGCGATCTTGTTTTGTTTTCTATTACTATATTTTAAATAGATATACGTGTATTAATGGTATCTTTACGATTTAAAATCTTAAGTTTTCTATTTTATTTTTTTATTAATAATTATTTTAATTAATAATTTTGACGTTTTGGTTATGGTGCCGCCTTATGGTGGTAGGACCTCTTGGGAGTCCGCACGGGTAGGTACCACCACCCCGCCTATTTCCGCCGTGAAGCAGTAATGCGTTTCGGTTCGAAGGGTGGGGTAGCCGTTGTAACTATACTGAGACCTTAGAACTTATATCTCAAGGTGGGTGGCGCATTTACGTTGTAGATGTCTATGGGCTCCAGAAACCACTTAACACCAGGTGGGCTGTGAGCTCGTCCACCCATCTAAGCAATAACAAAAATAAAAAAAAATCACATAGAGAACTATGTATATAGAAAAGTATCTATCTTTATAATTGCGTTTCGCGTAAATCGAAAATAACATTACTGTAAGCAGATTGCAACCATTGTTGAATAAAAAAAAAAAACGCGACAACAAAGGTAACCTTTGTTTCATATATTTGCATTTTCGCAGACTACAAAGGGTCGGGTGGTGGAATGATCTGGTATAAATTTTTTTTTTTTTTTTTTCTACTTTGAGGCATAATTTGAAACGCGATTTGAATTGTTCAAATTTAACAAAACTTTTATCATCATTATTTTAGAGCATTACATTATTATGTATATTATCTGTGTGATCACATTAGCGCAAGATGGATATTTGACCGAAGCTCTAAGATAAAAACTGTGTGAAGATATTTTTTCTTTTTTAATACGCTTTTATTAGCTTCAGACGTATGTATCATGTTAGTATGTTAGGATGTAACGGAATCTTTGAACATGATTTTGACCACCTTCAAAACTTTGGTGTACTTATTAAGGTCCGATGACAATTCACCAATCCATGGTATCATCAGTAGTTATAAAATATTCTATGAACAGATATGAGTAGAAGGATTATTTTGATAATATCCTGAAAAGCACCCCACGCTTTTTTTACAATAAAACCATTTTTTCTTACACTACTTATAATTCAAACTTATTAAAATTTATTTTCTATTAGTTTGATTTTCTATAAAAGCATATTTTGTTAGTTTTTTTTAGCTATTATTTATTTTTAAATCTGTTTTTATAATTATAGACTTTATAACTATTGAGATTTAATTCTTTTATCAGTAAATTATTTACGCGACTGTTCTCTTTCTTGTTGAAATTTCGTGGCTTTTGTAGTGTTAGATGAGATGAAAGTGTTTCAAAAAATGTTGACATAGGTAGGTAGGCAGCGGCTTGGCTCTGCCCCTGGCATTGCTGACGTCCATGAGCGACGGTGACCACTTAACATCAGGTGGGCCGTATGCTCGTCTGCCTACAAAGGCAATTAAAAAAAAACTGCCTATTTTTTTAACATTAAACCTGCTGTTACACCTGGTGTTAAGTGGTTACCGGCGCCCATAGACATCAACAAGGTAAACGCCACCAGAGTTCTGAATCTCAGTTTTTACAGTAGAACGGCTGCCCGATCCTTAAAAACAAACGCATTACTGCTTTTTTTTTATTGCTTAGGTGGGTGGACGAGCTCACAGCCCACCTGATGTTAAGTGGTTACTGGAGCCCATAGACATCTACAACGTAAATGCGCCACCCATCTTGAGATATAAGTTCTAAGGTCTCAGTATAGTTACAACCGTTCCCCACCCTTCAAACCAAAACGCATTACTGCTTCACGACAGAAATAGCCAGGACGGTGGAACCTACCCGCGCGTAGACTTCCTACCACAAGTAATTACGCTTATTATAGTTTTTGCATTGCTTGATTTTTATTACACGACGTTTTTCCTTCACCGTCGAAGTTATTCGTGAGCATTTATCAAGTACGTATTTCATTAGAAAAAAATTGGTACATGCTTGCGGGATTTGAACGCTGGTACGACGCATCGCTCGATTCAGATGCACAGGACGTCTTATCCTTTAGGCCACGACGACTTGGAACGATAACACTAACGCACGTCATTAAGATACTAAACAAAGTAGATATATAATATATAAACGTTTGGAACATAGAAGATTAAAAAAGGTATATAATGTAAAAGTTCCAGAAATAAAATTTTTACTGGCGGTGGGACCTCTTGTGAGTCCGCACGGGTAGGTACCACCGCCCTGCCTATTTCCGCCGTGAAGCAGTAATGCGTTTCGGTACGAAGGGTGGGGTAGCCGTTGTAACTATATTGAGACCTTAGAACTTATATCTCAAGATGGGTGGCGCATTGGACTGTGAGCTCGTCCACCCATCTAAGCAATAAAATAAAAATAAAAACACGTTTAAACACCAAGCCAAAGTAAAAATTCAAACGTTTTTTTTTAATTGATTATCCTATTCTTTGCCCAAAGTAAAAAATAATGTTGTCTCAAGTATAAGATTAATGTAATTTTCAAGTTGACGAGAAGCCCTGTAGTTGATAAAAATTAATTTTGAAAAATTCCGTTACAAAAAGAGAGACATGGGTCAAGCTAATAAAAATAAAACTGTTTTTTTTTCTCAGCCTATTTAGCGATAGAAGATTTTTGTGCCTATTTGTAAGTGTTTGTTTCCTATTCAATATGATTTGTATCGATTTTATATTACAATCATCGCCTAGGTCTTTTTGGTAGTAATCCTGACGGCTGTAATTAGTCGGCTCAATTATGAGGTCAGCGTTAATATCTCTTTCGAAGATACTAGCCATTCGGGATCCGGTTATACTCCTCTTAGAAGGCTTACACAGGGTCGTTGAACTTGGATATTTTAATGCTATAACAGCAAACGCTATTTATAAACTATGATTTGACAGAGAATCGCGTGCATTTGCGCAAAATGCGATAAGTTATTTGTGTGGGAGCATGGAAGAGCTAGATATAATTTTTAGGATTGACAGAGTGATACCTAAGAAAGACGTCACTGGGAAAACGTTCGGACGTCAAAAACACTACTAGCTGGATCTATGATCTGGATGTATGGGGCTGAGACCTGGATCTTGAAAGAGTCTGACAGGCGACGCATAGACGCGTTTGAGATGTGGTGCTGGCGGCGCATGTTACGCATCCCTTGGACGGCTTTCCGGACGAACGCTTCCATCCTCAACGAACTAAAAGTTGACCAGAGGCTATCCACCAAATGTCTATATAGAGTGCTCCAATACTTTGGTCATATAGCAAGAAAACCCTCTGACAACCTGGAGAGACTCATAGTGACGGGTAAAGTGGATGGACCAAGTGTCTGAGTATCTGGACATGAGACTGAGCCACGACCTTCACTGTGCCACTGACCGACATAAGTGGCTAAAAATTACAAAAAAAGGTCACAGGCGGGCGCATTACGATGCTCAGCAATGAGCGATCGACTGAAGGAGGAGGAGGAGGATCTATGAGGCGATCAAATTACATTCTAGAACCAGAAATTTGAGCAACAAGGCAATTGTCACGTTTTCCTTAATTCGTTCTCTATTCATATTTTCAATGTAAATATTTTACATTCGCGAGCGTTTTAAGTAATTGCCACCTACTGGTAAAGATGTAAAATGGCCTTCTCTCTTAAATCATCATAGATTTATATTTATCTCTTTCCAACACTGAATCAAATTATAGTTATTGCTTCCGCACGACAATGAAGTGTAATTTTTTCTTAGTTACCCCGCATGGAACATATTATTATGCACTTATTAGTCCACATTACGCGATTAAAATTCCTTGATCAGCGTGTTTAGTGCGAGTTTTTTAATGTTATCGATAGCGTAGATTGAACCTTTTTTTTTTTCGGGCCGCGTTCGAACCTCCTACGCGGAGCCCCGCGCCATATGGGGCGCGCAGGGTACGTGGGACTTGACGATCTGCAAGGTGTTGGGAGCAGACCGCGGGCCCAAGGAATTTTAGGGCCCTACCGACAGAAGATTGAGCCTGCCGTAACCACAGATACATAATCCAGTTTCATGACAGCGGAGTCGGCAAAAAACTCAAGACTTGCTCAATTCAAAACGACAACTGTAAATACAATAATAAATCTGTTTTTTTACGCTTATCAATAATAGCAATATTGGTAATTTATTAGTAGAGTTATCTTGCGACGAAGTTCAAAGTTTTTTTTACTGTATCTCATCGCATTCCTTTCTTGTTGCAAAACAGGGTAAATATTTATTATAGTCAACTGTCTGTTGTCGTATTTATACAGCCAGTGAAGGCAGAATATAATTTGATATTACTTTTACGTTTATTGAATAATTGTTTTTTCAAGAGAAAATTCTGAAAGGTAGACAGACGTTAGCCCACTGAGAGAAGTCGTCGTGGCCTAACGGATAAGACGTCCGATGCATTCGTGTTGAGCGATGCACCGGTGTTCGAATCTCAGGCGGGTACCAATTTTTCTAATGAAATACGTACTCAACAAATTTTAATGTTCACGCTTGACTTCCACGGTGAAGGAATAACATCGTGTAATAAAAATGAAAGCCGCAAAATTATAATTTGCATAATTACTGGTGGTAGGACCTCTTGTGAGTCCGCGCGGGTAGGTACCACCACCCTGCCTATTTCTGCCGTGAAGCAGTAATGCGTTTCGGTTTGAAGGGTGGGACAGCCGTTGTAACTATACTTGAGACCTTAGAACTTATATCTCAAGGTGGGTGGCGCATTTACATCGTAAATGTCTATGGGCTCCAGTAATCACTTAACATCAGGTGGGCTGTGAGCTCGTCCACTCATCTAGCAATAAAAAAAAAAGAATTTCTCGCGGGATCGTCTCAGTGGGTCGCGTTTCTAATCCGGTGGTAGATTCTGCGAAATCTTACTAGGGTCAGTGTTAGCATCACTCCGGTTTGAGCCCCGCGGGCTCACCTACTAGTTAAGATTATGCTGAAATAGCCTCTCAAGGCTATCAGCTTTGGTAGGCAAAAAAATAAATAAGCGCTTTAAGTTTTTGGAGAAGTACATCTGTCCCTTTTACACAAAGCGCGATTACAATATGATTATGCGTAAAGCCTTAAGTATAAACCTGTGCCAGTAGCCATCATAGAACACAAGATATTTGACAGATGCCTGAATACCACTAACGACATATTTTGTTTTTTTTGTTTTATTGCTTAGATGCGTGGACGAGCTCACTGGTGTGCTACCTGGTGTTAAGTCGTTACTGGAGCCCATAGACATCTACAATGTAAATGCCGCCACCCACCTTGAGATATCGGTCCTAAGGTCTCAGTATAGTTACGACGGCTGCCCCGCCCTTCAAACCGAAACGCATTACTGCTCCACGGCAGAAATAGGCGGGGCGGTGGTACTTACCCGTGCAGACTCACAAGAGGTCCTACCATCAGGGAGATTCAAGATAATTTTACAAATATACAAAACAACTGCGAGCCCAGCTGATCTGTCAGGATGATTTAAGACTTCATCGAATGACGTAATGAGGATGAATATTAATTATTCATAGAGAATTTGCGCGTCTAGATCGTTTAAAAGAATTCAAAGGTGATCTTAGTCAAATTACAAAGCTATAAATAGACGTAATTCTCATTTTGTTCGTGAACAAATTAATTACGTAAATACTGAATTTATTAATTTGTCTGTAAAAAAACCTACATGTCCCTTCCACGGCCCTCGACGTGTATAGTCCGGCGAATTAAATACGAAACAAATAACTAAGGTTCATATTTATGTATTATTTACCCCACTTGAACCTTTTTATATCTATACTAATATTATAAAGCTGAACAGTTTTTTTGTTTGAACGCGCTAATCTCAAGAACTACTGGTCCGATTTGAAAAATTCTTTCAGTGTTAGATAACTCATTTATTCAGGAAGGCTATAGGTTATATAACACCACGGCAAAGCCAATACAACGGGAACAAAAGACTGTTTCAAAATAGGGGCTTAAATAGCTCCTTAACATTCTATAATTCAAAACTATTTTCACTTTCTACATAAATGAAGTGGGAGTAAAATTTAGCGTTATTCTATTAACTATTCCTCGCGAACGGAGTCGCGGGCAAAAGCTATTTCCGATAAATGTTGACATTCAATCTAACTGTCACCTTCCGTAGTAAGTTTTCGCCAGAATTTGGAACAAAAATATTTTTGATGTCATTTTTCTGAACGCGTATCTTATCATTTCGACTCTCATCGAAAATTGATTGAGATGATCGCTAGATAAGATATTTGCGGAAAGAGCAGTTTATTGTTGAGATAGTCGCTGTGAAATACGATACCGATTTCGACCTCACATCTCAAGGTGTCAAATGGCCAACTTATTTAAGAACCTTCAGATATTTTGTTGGAATTTACGCAATATATGTTTATTTTTATTGCTATGATGGATGGACGAGCGCACAGCCCACCTGGTGTTAAGTGGTTACTGGAGCCCATAGACATCTACGACGTAAATGCGCCACCCACCTTGAGATACAAGTTCGAAGGTCTCAAGTATAGTTACAACGGCTGCCGCACCCTTCAAACCGAAACGCATTACTGCTTCACGGCGGAAATAGTCAGGGTGGTGATACCGACCCGCGCGGACTCACAAGAGGTCCTACCACCAGTAATAAAATCAAATCTTTCGAAATCACATTGCATTATCTTATGTTTAATTTATTATAGATTAAGCGAATTATTCGAGTTAGCTACTTATGTACCTACATTGTATTTGATTTATATGATAAACATTATTTGCAATCAGTCTACTAATCAAAACAAACAATAAAACAAATATTTACTTTGTAATTATTTAATATTAAATGTACATGTTTGTGTACTAACAATATTGATGGAAGGCGTATAAAGATCGGAAGGAGTATACAGTACCCATTGTAAGGAATACAGAAAACTATTATATTGATAATTATAATGTTTTCATATTCATAAAAATCCCACAGGAAATATTTAGGAAATGACTTATACAAACGACTTATGGAAAAGTATATTACGTGTGATATATTGTATTATTTATATTATTTACGGCAATATTATCTATATATTAATATGTGAAGCAAAAACTTTGCACCCGTTTTTACGAAAATTGTGCGGATGGATGAGTATGAAATTTCCCACACTTATAGAGAATATAGAGAAGGAGTGCAGAATGTAAAAATTTTTTTAAATGTATGCGTAAAAAGTCATGAAATCAAGCAATAAAACATTACACACCCTACCATGTATTTGACGGACGCACGCATGCATACTATTTGTTTATTGTCAAACTTTTCTTTATTAGAGTAATATTGTTTGTCTTTATGAATATTTGTCTAAAGTGTAGTCTTGGTGAAATCTGTGACTATAGAAGTATTTGACAACAGAATCATATTAATGTACAAACTTATAATTTCAACTAATTATAGTCGAATTTCGACTAGTAGGGGACCACTAGTAATATTTATTATGTCTCTGCTAAAAGGTGACATTCTCGACTTTTGCAAGTGAAACACTACGTCAAAGAAGACGGAACACAAGAGTATAATACTTTTCTTTCCAAGCGCAAATCCCTCTTTAATGAGTAAAATTGTTCGTAGAGCCAGAATAGAATTTTAGGTACCTCAAGCATCGGTCACCGTCCTCGCCGAACCCGTCGCTTGCGACAAAGGGCTCGCCGAATAAATTAACCCATAGACACAGCCATCTAGAAAGTATTGACGAGCCCTCATCATCGAATATAGCCCACTGAGTTTCTCGCCGGATCTTCTCAGTGAGTTGCGTTTGCGATCCGGTGGTGGATTCTTGGAAGCACTGCTCTTGCTAGGGTCAGTGTTAGCAACACCTCCGCTTTGAGCCCCGAGATCTTACCTATCGCTAGGGAAACGCTGATATAGCCGCTTAAAGCTATCTAACAGCAAAGGCAATAAAAAAAAGTTGGAATTATTATTCCATAGGATCCAAGAAACAGCATTACAATAAATGTTGGAACTTCTCTATGCGCCTTTGATTAAATCGAAAGCAACAGTTGAGAAAATAGCATCGTGTGACGATAAATAGAAAACAACGAATAATTTAAAATTACTACTAATTTAAATTAGAATTTAAATTTTATGGATTAAAGGTGTAATGTGATTCTGGGCAGGTGGGTCATACGTTCCGTATTTATGAGACACCTGTTAAATTATATCGCACCTTTAGAATTAAAGTAGTTTAATCCAAATTTCTTGCTTTGTTGGTAAACACCAAAAATGCAATTGAAGAATTGTAATTCTTCAGTTTTGATTTTAATACTTTAAGCCTAAAAGCACATACCGTAAATTTTAAACCTGATTTAAAAGAGGCCGATAGTGTACTTTGTTCTATTCTAACTAAAATTAAAAATTTCATTGTTAATATAAATAAATAAATAAAAAAATAAAAAAAAAAATTTTTTTAAACTGATAGAATACATGTTTATGAATCGTTCAAAGACTATAGGTAATATAGATATAAAGCAGCTCATTTTCTTTGAAATTTTAGTTAAGCCATTTCAGTTCATAAGGTATGATATGTGTGCGGCCTGGGTTGGCTTCATACGTCGTTTTATAGATTACACATACAATTAATGGTAGCTGTATAAAAATACGATATAGGTGACCCGTTTTGCTCCCACAGATAACAACCCTCTGAGTTTCTCGCTGGATCTTCTCAGTGGGTCGCGATTCCGATTCGGCGGTAGATTCCGCGAAGCGCTGTTCTTGTTTGGGCTAGACTTAGGAAATTCGGCAGGCTGAGCCCCGTGAGCTCGCCTACGCGTTGAGTCTAGTATAACCAACCTCTCAAGGTTACGAAGGATGGGTGAAAAAAAAGACGTTCTGTGTCCATCAAACAAAAAATACTCGGTAGATATCAACCTGTCTCAGTTTTACTTCTTAGGCTTTTCGATATTTATCTATTAGAAAAGGATCATGATATCTCCATTCTACACAAAATTATTAAATGTAAAGAAACTACGCGCGTCTACCGTATTAGTCGATTGATGGCGTTATTAGTTTTCCGAATCGCGCTATGGTTATGTTACATCGTTTTGAAGTACTGCAGTAGTTAAAGAACCTTTACAAATTTTTCTAGGTACGGTAACCGGTGATATTGTCAACGAACTACCTCCAGAAGAGTTCGACGTCAAAATCGGCGAAACAGTAGCCGTTTCTATCGCATCTAACGATGGATTCACTAACACCGAATGTCTAATCCAGACTCCAGATGGCGGGCCACATTCTCTTCAAGAACTTGACTTTATTGATGTTATAACCGAAGCGGGGGTTGATTGCAGCATTAAGATTAAAGTAACCGAAGAGATAGAAGGCGCCTGGACTCTTATTAGCCGAGCCACGTCGTTCGGTAGTCCTGTGAAGAGAACATTACCCTTCACTATCAATATAGGTAATACACGATTAAATGATTAACGTAATTATGAAAACGTACGCGTATCTAGTCACGTTTCCAGATAACATCGAAACATCATTGATCGAACGATAACGGTAATTCAAGTCTACAATTTTTTTGGTAGTTACTGAGTTATTATTTTCACCGATCCATATGATAACAGTGTTTTGACAGTCTAAAGATTCCACATAAACTATTTATAGTGAGTAATGAAAATTGTTAGGATGCTTAGTGACTTTGTTAGCACGAACTCAGTCTAGCTCAGATTATTTTGGTAAATATTTAAAAATTACCTGATTGGATTAAATTTTCTGTGTTTAGAACGTTTTTAAAATACTCGACGATACAGTTCCAGGTGAACACGATGAATCCGATGATGAAAAAACAGAATCAGAAGAAGAAGAAGAAAAAGAAAAAGAATCAGAAGAAAAAAAAGAAACGGATGAAGACGATGGCAAAACTACATGGTTAACTGAAATCAGACGCTTCACCAGAACTGAACAAATCGTTGATGTGTCTTTACCGAACATTGGATACGATGAAATATGCACTGTCATTACTCCTGACAGAAAAACCATTACGGCCGCAGAAATAGAAATTCCAGGAGTTAAAGTACAAAGTAAAAGCGTTTTTGTTTCATGTAGAATCAGTATCGGGCCACTGAAGTCAAATTTACTGGGGAAGTGGACTCTCTGTGGAAGACGAGATGATGCTGAGGAGCGAAGATGTCAGGTCGTCACTATTGAATGGAGTAAGTTGGACAAGAACATCCAAATATATTTTTGATGGTGGTAGAACATGCAACAGGTTTACACTCGTGGATTAATCAATGCATAGACGCGTAATCGAATTCACAACTCACTCAACTTCTAGTATTCACTAGCACTCTTCATTAGTACTTCTAGTACACAACTCAACGACTCTCACAACATGTAGTATTAAGTGGTTCCCGGAAGCCATATACCACGTGAATGTTACCCCACACCTTAAAAAACTTGAGGACTCTGTGTCTCAATTTTATAGTAGTTTTATCACGCGATGTTATTACTACATCATGAAAGTCAATAGTGAACACGAGTATTTTGAATTCGTTGTGGTGTCTATGGATTCCGATAGCTCCTTAACAGCTATGATATTGTTTTCCCATCTTAGCTATTCAATTAATAAATTCATTAAGCAAAGGAGATTTCATAACAGCTATTATAATGAAATGTATTTTCTGATTCTAACGAGTTTCAGTTTCATGGATTTCAATATTTTTTTTGTTTCAAGTTCAATAAAACCTTTTCTTCACAATTATTTTCAGACAGTGAGAACGCACCCCATGCGTTATGGGACTCCCGAACTCAGCCTCTTTTCAAACATCCCGTCAATCTGAACGGAATTTTGACACCAGTCGTTATAGGCTCAGGATCTTTGTTAACGTGCCATATTGTTACGCCCAATGGTGAAGATTTAGTCGTCTTACCGGAGACGAAATACCCTGGCATCGTCCGCGCAGAATCCAGTACAACGGGTTGTAGTATCGCAATTGGTCCCATAACACAGGACATGTTGGGACAATGGGAACTTTATGGAATGTTTAGATCAGTGCTAGGACTGAATGAAGTCCGTTTGCCAATGAACTTTGAGTTGTATGGTAAGGCATAAACTTGTGGATAATAATCTATAGTTACAAATTACTGAATAAAATCAATATTCTTCAATAAATATGTATACAATGAGTATTATTGTCTTATAGTGTAAGTTGATGTACAAAATAATATGTGCGTATTGTGTTGCTTTTGTTTTTTTGTAACTTAAATTTCTAAATTTCTCTTCTCTGTTCAATTTCTACTTATATGTGATTTTGATTGTGGAAACACATTTGGTTATTGATTTAGCTATTTTTTAAATTATTATATGTTTGTATTATACTGTTTGTTTCCCAAATAAATAAAAGGTCGCGTACATACATGCTTAATTAAAATACTTAATGATCCGTGTGTGTTATATAATTTAATAAAAAATATTGAATTTTCAGATACTGACAACCCTTACAATCAAGCGTACAATTTAACTGTTTTGGATGCAAAAAGACATGTAATCAATTTGGGTTCTACAATATCAGTAGAAGTTAGTGGTCACGGAACGATGGACAGCTGTGAATTTGTTGCTCCTTCAGGGCAAGCTTATCAAAGTACTGGCAAGAATAATTTCGAAGGAGTTCAGTTTGTAAATGTAGACGGCATTATAGCTTGCCGTATCTCGATCGGTCCCATTACCGAAGTAATGCTTGGGAAATGGCAAATTGTCGGGAAATTCAATGATGGAAATATATTTAACGAGAGACAATTGCCTTTTGAAGTCATACGCGAAGGTAAATTTAGTATAAGAGCAATCAATCAGTTAGATTTAGATAGTACCGAGTTATTTTGACTTAAAAATTCAGGTGTAAATAACCAACAAATACAAATTTCTTCAAAAGTTTTATTATTATTATTGCCATGTCTTGATTTGAAAGATGACATAAAATGATTATTAATTTTCTAGATCCTGCAAATCCTATTGACGATGTTGACAGAATTGTGACCACGATTGACGATAGGAAATACGATACTGAAATCGGTGCGACCCACGAGATCATCATAAATCGTGGAGATTTCATTAAAAGTGAACTCTGTCAGATCAGGACACCTTCGGGAAGACAGTACACCTTAATGGATGGCTTCAACCTACAAGGGATAGAGATTATAGAAGATACGAATGTGGAATGTGGAATAAGAATGACTGTGCTATCTGAAGATATGATCGGCGAATGGGTGCTAATTTCAAAAGTTACGATGCTCTCTGATCCTATGGAAAGAAAACTCGTGTTTAAAATTCACATTGAAGGTAGATTTTGTTTTGTTGCATTGGTTGGACGAGGTCACAGTCCATTTGGCATTCAGTGGTCACCGGAGCCCATAGGCATCTAAAACGTAAATGCCGTCACCCACCTTGAGATATTAGTTCTAAGGTCTCTGTGTAGTTACGGTAGCTCCACCTTCCAAGCCGAAATGCATTACTGCTTCACGGCAGAAATAGGCAGGGTGGTAGTACCTACTCGTGCAGACTCACAAGAAGTCATACCACCAGTAGTTATATTTATTAATATATTACTTCTTCTTATTTACTTTCTAGCAGCGTTTTATACATCAGCGCAATATATTACAAGTAAGATATACACTAATCTCATACTAAATGCTAACACAAATACAGGCTTACAGACCGGTCATCGTTCTCGTCGAACCCGTCGCTTGCGACGAAGGGCTCGTCGAGTAACTTCACCCGTAGACACAGCCCGGATCTTCTCAGCGGGTCGCGGTTCCGATCCGGTGGTCGATTCTGCGAAGCACGGCTCTTGCTAGGGTTCGTGTTAGCAACGTCGTCAGGTTTGAGCCCCGTGAGCTCACCTACTAGTTAAGGTTACGCTGAAATAGCCTCTCAAGGCTATCAGCTTAGGTAAGAAAAAAAAGCTTGCAGGGAAACTTATACAGTGTTACTTTTGTTTTAGAGCGCGTCGAACCTAATTCTGCAAGCATTACAATAACTGAAGGCAACGATTTATACCTTAGACTGAAGAATCCGGTAGACAAACAAGACACCTGCAAACTCATTGCTCCTAACTCACGTGCTTTCGAAATAGATGAACCAAACGCGAGACTGTGTGGATTCTTGGCTAGAGCCGTTTCGGATCAGGATAGTGGAGAATGGGAAATACAATATGGAGATACAATTTTATACAGAGCTGTAATAAATGTTAATGTTGTCGGTAAGTTTTTTGATGATTCGTTTCTTATAACAGTATTGGAGCTCTTAAGATATTATTTATGTATTTACTATACCGATGATGGTGGAGATAAAGGCGCGGAGCCTGCGAAACGGGTGTACGCGGGTGTGTGAACCAGAGAGACGCCGCCCCATAGGGAGGCCCAAGTACCGCTGGTCTAACGATGTGGAATGAAACGTGAGCTCCAAGTGTCGGACTGGCAACATGTTGCGCAGCGCCGGGATTAATAGGGACGTTTATTGTCGGATGCCAAAACCCAGTTTGGGGTCATACCGCCAGCGCAGTGTACCGATTTTTATAGTTACTTTAAGAGGACATACGCAACATGAATTTTAAAAAGTTTTAACAACAAATGTTTTGGTTAACTGGTGGTATGACCTCTTGTGAGTCCGCAAGGGTAAGTACCACCACTCTTCCTATATCTGCCGTGAAGCAGTAATGCGTTTCGGTTGAAGGGTGGGGTAGCCGTTGTAACTATACTGAGACCTTAGAGCTTATATCTCAAGGTGGGTGGCGCATTTACCTTGTAGATGTCTATGAGCTCCATTAACCACTTAAGACCAAGGTGGGCTGTGAGCACGTCCACCCATATAAGCAATTAAAAAATCTTACGTTACGGACGTTTTTTCCCGATTAGGGTAATAAATAAAAAAATTCTAGATTGGTTATGTACCTTATCTTTTAAAGAAAACTATGCTTTCAGAAAGAAGTACTATACAAGTGCAAGATTTAACAATAATTGAAGGTAGTAAGCTGATTACGGAAATCGGTCCAGATGATTTGGTGTTTTGTAAACTAGAAGATCCATTAGGCGTGACCGTATATGAAGGTTTCGGCAGATGCGTGATCCGTGTCGATCGAGCGACAAGAAACCATAATGGCAAATGGAAGATGTCTATTGGATTACAAGGGCGTATTCTACTTGAAGAACTCACTTTTACAGTTCACGTTAGAAGTGCAGGTTAGCTGTTTGAGAATTATACTGACAATAATGATTAGAAATTAAAATAGTTTAAATTGGTTAAAGGTTTTTGTTTAATAGGCGATCTTTGGGCCGTGAGCTCGCCCACCCAGCCTAGTAGTAAAAAAAAACATGTGTGCAATACACACGTGGTAGAAGTGAAACCTTCAAAAATTAAAATACAATTATCCTAAATGTCTAAGAATATGTAAAATTTTGTCATTGGTAAATAATTGTAAATCATCTTTTACAGTTCATACTGTATAAGATAATATTAACTTCACGTATAATCCTAAATTAAAATTCACTACAAGAGGTTTCATACACACGTTAGTATTAAAAAAATCCCATAGATGGCGCTGTATTAAAAAAACACTACACAGAGAACGTCTAATGTGTTCTATCTCATTCTCTCTCCGGCTGAATCCTATACATTTATGTGTTTGTGTCTCTATGGACCTATTTTTTCGTTTCATCGAGTTTGAAATCACAACGATTCTAAAGAAGTTTCACTTCAAAAATATGTTAAACATGCAGGATCCAGACAAGTACAGACTTCCGTGCGCAGGGAACGTCCTTCGGTGGTCATATCATGTTCGCTTACGAGCAACGTCGAAGTCCGCGCTTGTAAGTTCCGCGATCCCCGCGGCAAAATCCTGATCGCTTCACGCGGAGTCGGAGAGGACAGATATGCTTACCACGGCTCCGAAGTGACGTGAGTTTTCTTTCTATTATCTTTCTTCTTCTTCTTGCTTCGGTTTCCTCAATACTGAGGGTCGTGATAACCTCCACGCAACAAGAGTTTATTACGGACCATTCCACGCCATTTGCCTCTATCTGCCGCCGAGTGTAGAGCATTGTGAACTGTGGTGTCGAGGGTAGTGCTGATCTGGTAAGTCCAACCTGTCGGGCCTCTACCTCGTGTTCTTCTTCCGTTCACCTTGCCAGTCACCATTAGCTTCTCCAAGCTGCCGTGATCCTTTTTTGCAATGTGGCCAAAGTATTCCAGAACTCTACGTAGGCAGATGGTAGAATAATGTATAATCTATTCACCCTCAAATACAGAGGTGAATTATCCGTAAGGCAAACTAGGCACGTGCCTAGGCGCGCGCGAAAATTCTGAGCTCGTTTTTATTTGCGTAATTACTGGTCCTATTTCTGCCGTGAAGCAGTAATGCGTTTCGGATTGAAGGGTGGGGCAGCCGTTGTAACTATACTGAGACCTTAGAACTTATATCTCAAGGAGGATGGCATTTACGTTGTAGATGTCTATGGGCTCCAGTAACCACTTAACACCAGGTGGGCTGTGAGCTCGTCCATCGATCCTAGCAATAAACATTTTTACCATGACTTTGCTGAAGCTCAAACGACTGACGATTTGACAACAGATCTGCTAACTTAATGACAAGAAGTTTAGTATCAGTTGCGTTTTTTAAATGAACCATTTTGTCAATTTTTTTATTTTATGTTTAATTTTTAATTTTATGTTGCGACTGACTAACGCAAAAAATCACAGTTTGATGTGTTGATAGTTGCTGTGGATTCAGAATACGTCCTGTGACAAAAACAGACACAACGGTAGTGCCAATCTATAATAAGATCAACATTTCTTATGTCCATTAGGCCATGATTTGTAGCTTGATAAACAAATTAACTACATTGTTCTCCTTTGCGTATGTCGATACAATATTTTACGTATATTATATATAAAAATGAATTGCTGTTCGTTAGTCTCGCTAAAACTCGAGAACGGCTGGACCGATTTGACAAATTTTGGTCTTGAATTATTCGTGGAAGTCCAGAGAAGGTTTGAAAGGTGAAAAAATGTGAAAATGCTCGGAATTATTTGAGGCTCTACGAAGTCTGCCGGGTCAACTAGTATATTATAAATATCAATGCGATCGACCACTTTTACTAAATTGTTCCTGGAATACGTTTTATCTTTATTAAAATAAAACAAATATCTTAGCAAAAAAAAAAACAAAAACCAATAAAATAAACTGAGATTATCCTCAACGTAGTCGAAATCAATTAAATATGCATTAATAAGGCCTAGCTTTTGCTTCGAGACTTCGTCTGCGTGGAATAGTTACTTTGGCATAACGCTAAATTTTACCCGCGACTTCATTTACGGCCGTTTTCAATAACCTATCTATCCCTAGTTTCGGTTACTAAAGATAGACAAATCTATATTTTTGTCCTTACTTACGTTCCAATAACCTATCGACGGGCAGCAGTTCCTATCGGATTTATCTATCCATCGTCGGGAGGACGGATAGCCTGCTAAAGATAGAACGCTCATATAAATCGTGCTTACTTCCGTTTCAATATGAGTTTTAACGGCCGTTTTCAATAACGTATCTGAGTTTTCGGATAGATAGCTATCTCCGAATATCAGCAAGAGCGTATCTATCCTTAGTTTGCGTTTCACAATCACGGATAAGTGCTATCTCTCTTTAACCAACAGTAGATAGCTTCTTCCCTCCGATTTATCCGAGCCTCTTGATACGTTTCGTTCTACTACAAATACGAAACAACATCAGNAATTTATTGTTTGTGGCATTTGTTGCCTTATTATTGAAATGTTTTTTCGCCGCCACAAGTTCTGCTAGAATCATCGTCTCATCTTTTGTCATGGGTGCTGCCTTTCTTGACTGAAAAAGATATATTTTCTAAACTTGAACTCAAAGTTTTCAAAGTAAAATTATTATTATCAATGTAGTTTATAGATACTTACAGAATTCATTTTATTTCACTGTAGCTCTTTAATTATAAACACACTTAGAATTATAAACGAAAGTTTTAAAGCGTTTTGGAGGTAAGTCATCATCTAATATAGTAGGTAAACAATAGAAAAACAAACAAAAGAAACTGATCACTGCTTATTGGTAAACGGACTGTCAAAACGTTTCGTTTCATAATTTCGACTAGGATAAAAATAGCAATGCGTCCAATTTAAAAAAATCTACATATGTTTTTATTACTTTTTGTTATAAACAAATGTGTTTATGATAGTCTACAATATGCTGGTTAAATTATAGTTATAATTTAGAATAAAATAAAATAAGTTTTGATCCTGATGTTGTTTCGTATTTGTAGTAGAACGAAACGTATCAAGAGGCTCGGATAAATCGGAGGGAAGAAGCTATCTACTGTTGCTTAAAGAGAGATAGCACTTATCCGTGATTGTGAAACGCAAACTAAGAATAGATACGCTCTTGCTGATATTCGGAGATAGCTATCTATCCGAAAACTCAGATACGTTATTGAAAACGGCCGTTACAGTACTCAGGATTGGAACTTCATTACTGAACCGGTAGATGGCGTTGAAGAAGCTAGATTTTGAGATTTTTTGACAAACAATTTTTTTATTTTTCGTAAAAAATATTTTTTTTTTCTTAATAAAAAGTATCCTATGCTACTTCTAATACCTCCAAGAATATATGTACAAAGTTTCATGATGATCGGTTGAGTACTTTTCGCGTGAAAGCGTAACAAACAAACTTACATTCACATTTATATATTAGTAGGGATAACTCAGAAACCAATCGTCAGGTTTTGATAAAATTTAAATGTGACAAAACGAGAAGCACTAACTTTAAAATAAGAAGAATAGATTCATCAAAACCGGTTCATGTAAAAGAAAATAGCCAGTTGTGGATATAAAAGATATATTTGTCTGCGTCCGCAGCTACAAGTCCGACTTGTCCAGCCACGAGTGTGGGATCCGGCTGACGAACCCTTCGGAGGAAGACCTGGGTCTGTGGCGCTGCGGCATGGAAACTGAAACCGAGACTCACTATGGTTTCCTACCGGTTATTTGTCCTTGGTTACTGGACACATCGGAAATCCAAGACAAGGTTGTCACTGGTAAGTTTTTGTTTGATTGATCGTGCGGTAATAAAAATTATAGTTTGTAGATTTGAATATGTCTGTATTTTTTAAGATGCACAACCTTTGCACAATTTACAATTCAACCTTATGGCTTAAAACGGATGGTAGCATTTGCATTGTGATGTCTATTGTAGTTGTAGTCCTAGGGTACCCTGCTGGTCATCAGTCCGCTGAGTTTCTCGCCGCATCTTCTCAGCGGGTCGCTGTTCCGATCCTGTAGTTGATTCATTCGCGAAGCAGCTGCTCTTGAGTTGTTAGGTCTCCTTCGGAGGCGCTCGGGCAGTTGTTAGCAAACCCACCCCTCCTGGCTGAGCCTTTGCACGCCCACCTTTCACGGTGAAACTGGAAAGGTCTTAGGGCCACCAGTAATCGTTAAATCATAAAAAAACCCTGCTGGGACATAGGGTCCTTACAAGTTATCTCCACTTCACCCTGTCTTGCGCTTACTCTTTAACATGATTTCTATGGGCTGTAGGAACTGCCTTATATAAGGGCCTATTCAGGATCTAGGATCTATTGAATCAGATCATGCGCCGCATAAAACCTGTTTTTGTGCGAATCTTTTTTAAAAGCATTTATTTTTGTGCAATTTGCTTCGTCACAGAAATCCTAATCACTGACTTGATTGCGTCAAAAAATTAAAACAATTGAAATAGTATTCTCAAGTGACGAAAGCCATTTAGAACCATTTTTTATTTTTCATTCAACGTATGGAGAATAGATTAATGATCTTTGGATTACAACATCTAGCAGTGAATTACGTAATGTGTATTTCGAAAACTTCCTCATGTATCTATTAAATTTTTCCATGTGCAATTTTACAATGAATTTAATGTTTAATTTTTATAATTTTCTTTGAAAGGACTTATTTTGTAAATAATTGACGTAATTTCTAATTGTGACTTTTTATGCGGTCCTTCACCGCCGCATAAACGAGATTCTATCCTCCTCCTCGAGTCGTGTTCCTCATGTCTGAGGGTCGTGACCACCATCATCCATGAGCTTCAATCTTAAGATCTTTTTCCACTTTCCCCTGTCCACGGCGTCATGCAGCGCGCTGTACACTGTACTGTCCAAAGCGGTGCGGATCTGATCGGACCAACAAGTCTGGCTGCGGCCTCTAGATCTGTTGCCTTCAACTTTCCCTGTGATCATAAGTTTTTCCAGGTTATCGCCGTCTTTCCTCGCAATGTGACCAAAATATTCGAGGATCCGCTTCAGACATACAGTAGATCTGATTTTGATGCCCAGTTGCTTCAATATCGACACGTTAGTCCGAGATTCTATAGTGTGTCGTAAAACTTTGATTTTTATATGTGAGTGTGAGTAAGGGTGACTCATAATTATACTACATCAAAAAAAAAAAGAAATTTCTTTAATTACAGAAATTAGAAAAATCGATTATTATTTTAAATCTCCAAGGAAATAAATTGATTAAATCATTTTGATTATTAATTTTTACCAAAAGTGCCAAAATTATAATTCACAAATTATAATGGATGAATTGAATTTTGAATTATCAATTAAAAAGAAAATTAGTAATTATTAGAATTAATTAATTATATTGAGCAATCTTGATAAGGCCAGAAAAAAAAAACTTTCAAAATTTTGCCACCTTGGGCACTTGCCCCGACTGTCCCTAGTGTAAATCCACCACTGGTAGCACATTGTATTGAATCGCTAACCCGGAAGAAAACAAATTATTATTTTCATTAAACATTTTCAGAGCCAATCCTGAGTGCGGATACAAGTTACGTGTCGTCTCCTGAAGGTCAGGCCGTTGTGATGTCGTGCTCTGTGTCTGCTACGATACAATACTGTTACTTCAGAGCACAAAACGGAACAGTATTCAGTGTTACGCCTGGTTTGTATTTATCTTATATCTTTAAACGAGCTATTCTTGTATATAAATATATATTTATATAATCTGAATCTCGGAAACGGCTTCAACGATTTTCATAAAGTTTAGTAGGTTTACAGGCGATTTCAAGGGCGATAAATCGATCTAGCTACGATTTATTTTCAGAAAATGTTGTTTTATTCGTGTTTTCAACGCATTACTGCTTCACGGCAGAAATAGGCAGGGCGGTGGTACTGAACCGCGCGGGCTCGCAAGAGGTCCTAGCACCAGTAATTACGCAAATTATAATTTTGCGGGTTCCATTTTTATTACACGATGTTATTCCTTCACCGTGGAAGTCAATCGTGAACATTTGTTGAGTACGTATTTCATTAGAAAAATTGGTACCCGCCTGAGATTCGAACATCGGTGCATCGCTCAACACGAATGCACCGGACGTCTTATCCGTTAAGCCACGACGATTTCAACGTCATTCGTGTTAGCAACGACGTCAGGCTTGAGGGTTACGCTGAAATGGTCTCTCAAGACCATAAGTTTAGGTAGGAAATAGTACATTGTGCACCAAGGGAGAAAAGTTGGACATTTCCTCCTGCGTGTAAAATTGCCACCCGAGCCAAAGCCCCCCCTCATAAAATTCACTGTTTTTTAATTTTTAAATAAACTACTACTAATTGAATAAGAACTGTCTGATGAGCTCATCTTTGTTTAATACTTCACTATTAAATTTTATTGCCTTTTGTTTATTTCGCTTTTACACTAAACACGATATTGCAAATTACCCGAGCACAACAATGGCGGAGAATTTTAGGTGCGTGAGAGCAGACGTTGACACTAACACGCATGCGCACTTGTCAGTACCCAGGGAGGAAAAGTTACACTTTGTTTCCTGTACAGCGGGAAGAAAAGTTACACTTTCTTCCCTGTACAGCGGGAGGAAAACCGAACTTTCGGCGTAGGTAGGAGAAAAAAAAAATTGCCTTTTGTTTATTTCACTTTTACACTAAACACGATATTGCAAATTACCCGAGCACAACAATGGCGGAGAATTTTAGGTGCGTGAGAGCAGACGTAGACACTAACGCGCATGCGCACTTGTCAGTACCCAGGGAGGAAAAGTTACATTTTCTTTCCTGTACAGCGGGAGGAAAACCGAACTTTAGGCGTAGGTAGGAGAAAAAAAATTGTTTTGTTTCAGGGGCCACCTCTACCTACACTGAGTATGTAGGCAATGGCTTCGCTGCCGGCGAGTGTGGAGTCAGGTTTGATGGCTTGTTGACGACTGATGGCGGTCGATGGAGTTGCCACGTCGGACTCTTGGACAGCGAGCAGGAACAACGGGCGGAGATCACTCTTCATATTTTCGGTAAAGATTCATAGAATGCGAGAACATGCGTATTTTTTTTTACATAATACAACTTCTCACTCACTAATGTTCGGTTTAGCTGTTTATATATAGTTCTACTAGCTGTAACCGTCCGCTTCGCTGGGCATTTAAAATTAACAATATTATTTTTCATCCCCACAAAGATTCTCATCATTAACGCCCCCGCAACTGGTGTAGGGACTCCAACACTCATATAAATATTAGCCTATCCATTAAGTACATGTATTTTCTACATGGATACCAAGTATCAAGTCAATCGGATGCATGGTTCAGTAATTATAACGGAACATCCGTAAAAACCACTGTAGATTTATATATTAGTATAGATTTTATCAGTTGTACTAACGAATTGTATCGTTCTTAAAATTCACATAAATTAATTTTAAATTTACTAAGATTTTTAAACGGAAATCTTCATTTTTATTTATTTTATAGCTTGAGGAGTGCACGAGCTCACGGCCGACATGCTGTTAAGTGTTCACCGGAGCCCATAGATAACTACAACATGAATGCCGCCACTGACCTTGAGACATGAGTTCTAAGGTCTCAACAGTACAACGGCTGCCCCGCCCTTCAAACCGAAACGCATTACTACTTCACGGCTGAAATAGGCGGGGTGGTGGTACCTACCCGTGCGGACTCACAAAACGTCTTACCACCACTAAAACCATTGTTGAGTCTAACACCGAAAGAGGGAGAAAGTTTTTGTTTCCTTTAATCATAGATTTAAGTGTCAAAGAGTTTTTTTATTGCTTAGATAGTTGGACGAGCTCACAGCCCACCTGGTGTTAAGTGGTTACTGGAGCCCATAGACATCTACAACCTAAATGCGCCACACACTTTGAGATATGAGTTCTAAGATCTCAGTATAGTTACTACGGCTGCCCCGCCCTTCAAACTGAAACGCATTACTACTTCACGGCAGAAATAGGCGGGGTGGTGGTACCTACCCGCGCGGACTCACAAGAGGTCCTGCCACCAGAAAAACATTCATAGCTTTTTAATGTTGTTAAAAATTTTCAGAGCAAATGAGAGTTAGGCATTACATCCATCCGCGCGGCCTGATGGTGGAAGCCGACATTGAGACGCCTGAAGAGTTGGAGTACTGCAGATTCGTGCGCATCGACGGTCTAGGTGAGTGGCGCTCGTGATCTATTCAATAGATTTGAGAGGAAAACTGAAGTGATGAATTGGAGCAGAAGAACCTTTGACTAGAAGATTGCGCAAAGTGGGAATGAGTTGCTCGCTCCGGGCATTTCGATATTGTAATAATTGTTATGTTATTACACTCACGCAAAAATGAATATTTAAAAAAATCTAATATTAAAAAAAAAGTGTGTGTGTCCGCTCCGACGCACGACTGGAGTTTACTGGATATAAAAAATTAAACGAAACAATACGAGAAATAGTTCTATATTACGACAACACGATACACTACAGATTATTAACAAATTAACGAGACACAAAACAAACGACTAACAAATATATGAAAATACAATAATGAGAGAAACGCGCGATCAGTACGAGGCTTTGTGGCGGACTGCCGGCGCAGCAGCCCGGCGTCACCTGCGATAACGCGGCCGCGCGTTGGCTCCTGATTGGCGCGCGCACGCATCACGCAATCAGGAGCCAATCAGGCGCATAACGCATTTCGTGTGACATGCTAGTACGATTTTGGTCCCCATAATTTTCATACCCCGGGCCTATATATGTAAATCGATTCTAAAGGAGTAAACTCCAAAAAACATGCCCGCTGCATGAATTTGCATTATTTACTTTGACAAGTTGAACTTTTGATAGAAGACGCTCGCGGTCCATGGTCTCCTGTGACAGAAAGCAGCAACCAACTTCGATCCACAGATTAATATGTCACGAAACACTACGGACTTAAATTATAACGTGTTTTGCAACTATCACGCAGGATTCACAAGTGAAAATGTACCGAGCGGTTACCAGAGCCTGAGTAATCTTCAGGAAGGTCTGTGCGCACTGCTGATGCGTGACCAGACAACGCTGAACCTTCACCCCTGGACTGTGGCCGCTAAGGTTCACGGGCAGACGGAGATAACGAGAACCAGCACCCAGAACTTGCTGTGGACCTTAAGCCAGAGGACCGGTGAGTACTTCGACTGGTGGTAGGACCTCTTGTGAGTCCGCGCGGGGAGATACCTCCGCCCTGCCTATTTCTGCCGTGAAGCAGTAATACGTTTCGGTTCGAAGGGTGGGGGAGCCCCGAGTGTAACTATACTGAGACCTTAGAATTTATATCTCAATTTCTTTTTTATTGATATAGTTGAGTAGACGACTTCATTAGTGATTAGGCGGCCATTATCCATGGACATTACAATGCAAATATCTCCACACAATAGAATTAAAAAAAACCTAGTAGCCTTAATACCAGTAACCGAGTAAACCAGTAGTAGCCCTTAGCGAGTCGTAGTCGTATTGACTAGACTGAAAAATTAACCAATAACAATTATCTATACAATAATGTTTCAATTTGAGTAATTTTCTATTGGGTTTCTAACCACTCTAACCAATTAATGCTTTGACATGTCAAATAATTATTTCTGCCGTGAAGCAGTAGTACGTTTCGGTTTGAAGGGTGGGGTAGTCGTAACTATACATGAGACCTTGGAACTTATATCTCAAGGTGGGTGGCGCATTTACGTTGTAGATGTCTATGGGCTCCAGTAACCACTTAACATCAGGTGGGCTGTGAACCCGTTCAACCATTTAAGCAATAAAAAAACAAACAAATCTTTCGTCTTTATAATATTAAGTATAGATAAACACTAGTATTCCAAAAGGATTAAGAGCGCTATATTTTAATTTCAGCCACGGTCTATTCGATATACTTGTTCACCGTGGTGATGTTCATTCTGCTGGCGACGGTGCTGGTGGGAGTCAGCCTCGGCCCCAAGAAGAACAGGAAGTGGACGTACGACCGGGTCTCGCGTTTGAGTACCAATATCAGGAACAGCTTCCGGAAACAGAAGCCTGTTGGCGGCGTTTAGAAGAACGAAAAACAACAAAAAAAGAACAATTTTTGCCGCGAGTGTTCTTAAAATAAATATAACGTGGAAAAAAAATTAGATATATATCGTATTCTCGCATTAAAACTGTATAATCTCAAAACTTACTAATTTTACTAGGAGAGTGTTTTTTTGATATTAATCATCTTTCCAGCATAATTTTTTTTTACCAGTTACATTACCTCTCTTTTAAAGTAAGATAAAATTATGTATTAATTTTCTTAATAGTATTCAAAACATAGGTAAACTAAAAAAAAAAAATATATAACTAAACTACACTCTTTTGACAGTATTTTTTGTATGTAAATTGTACACTTCTAATGCGAAAAGACGATATATGAAAGTCGTTTATAAAAAATATATATACATTAAAAAAAATATTTATATCAAGTGCCTGTTGTTTTTAGAAGATTCCGTATTTAATCTTAATCAAATCATTAATGACGGTGACGTTTAGACAGCCAAAAACAGCTGTTCATATATTTGAGTGTGGATCAATAGCCCGCTGAGTTTCTCGCCGCGATTCCGATCCGGTAGTAGATTTATTCGCGAAGCAACTACTCTTGAGTTGTCAGGTCTTCTTCGGAGGCGCTCGGGCAGCTGTTAACAAATCCCACCCCTCCTGGCTGAGTCTTTGCTCGCCCACCTGTCCTGGTAAAACTGGAAAGTCCTCTGGGCCACCGGTAATGCTTCAATCATAAAAAAATACATGATTGCTACCAAATACATTATAAGTAGCTGGTACGTATGTACATATGTATGCGAATTATACGCGCGGCTTCTTCGTCGCTTTCTTCATTGCTGAAGGTCGTGTCCCTGAAACTTGACCGTGGCCTGTCTCGTGAGCTGTTTCCATCTCGTCCGGTCCTCAGCTGCTCGAATGGCGGTTGCGACTGGCAGCCCAGTTAGGGCGGTTATTTGATCACACCAACGGCTAGGTAATCGGCCGCGGGGTCTCTTTCCTTCTACTTTGCCCGTCACAATCACTTTGTCCAAGTTATCTGACTGGCGGCGGGCAATATGACCGAAGTAGCTGAGGATCCTCTGTTAACAGATTGTTGAGAGCCTGACTCAGATGCGAAGCTGATCCAGGATAGATTTATTTGTCCTCTTGGCCGTCCGAAAAACGCGTTCGCATAGCTGTATTGCGATCGGTTTTAAATAAACCCGACACAGCTTAAGGAAGCTGGAGGTAACACTATCTGTGTATGAAAAAGTGTCCAGTGGAAAACTATCAATTTAAAGAGGTGCCACTGTAGTAAGTGGTTTAATATGGAAGATTGGGCCAAAAGTTATTTCGCTAATTTTTTTTTTTTTCTTCCTATTCACTGGTAGCCTTAAGGGCTATTTCAGCTTCTCACGGACGGGTAGGTGAGCTCATGGGCTCAACCTGACAGAATTTGCTAACACTAGCCCTAGCTAGAGCAAATATTTCTACTCAGAACTTGCTATACTGGCGATATTTTATGGGTTTTTTTGCGGCTGGACAATTTTCAAAAACTTTCATTTAAACACATCACACAGTTCTCTTTTTCTTTATCCTCCATACAACAAGACTTAAAGTTGGCGTTACTCAATCGTCTGCGTGTTGAATTTCAATTACACACTCATTATAATGTAAAGTGCCCTTCGTTGCTTAGTTTACAACATCGTACAGAAATATATACCATAATTATTATGTTTGTTGACAATTTATTTATACAATTTGTAATAAATACATTATTTGTTTTAATATATATGTTTTTTTTTTTTCGTAATTGTACAACCCTAATCCCAAGCCGAATACTTCCAATAGTTATTATATGTAGTATTATAGGAATTAGTGCGGTATATATGCTACGCAGTGGAGGTTTGTCTACTACGTTTGCCTACGTTTGCCACTAGGGGCGCTGTTCCAACTGCATACAAATTTAAGTTAACTTTAACGCTATCGAGAACGTTAAAAAACTCGCACTAACCACGCAGATGCAAGTTCACAGCGCGTTCATTGCAAAGATATAATATCTTGTTAACATTATTCCTTAGTTCTAACGAGTCGAGCTTCAGCTGACGGTTGTATTGAGATGTAGTCCAAATTATTAGTCACAATCAAGGCTATTGCGTATTTCAAAAGACTGCCGACACATTAAACACACTCTGTTCTTAGATATCATGTATTTAAATTCAATCATATCAAAGTTATTATCAGGCGTTATATTACTATATGGCCTACGAGAGATCTGTCCATTATTTCGATTATAGATAATAAATTCAAGGTGGAAATCATTAAATGTATTTTCTCTTAGATAAACTCTAATTTGAATGATAGTGTCGATAATTTTGCGATTAAAACGTATTGTTGATTAGTCGCGACCAAAACGTGCAAGAATGAACAGTATCATTACATTGTTTTTCTTGTACGTGAGTGCAGTGTCTGCTACAGGTAATTAAAACATTCTTTTTACACAAGTGTATCGTTATCAACAATAATAAAAAAGCGAACTCTTATTTACAAAACTGGTTTTACTTATTTTACATTTTAATGTCTACGTAGCTAACTAAAGTTGTTTAAGGAATATATCTTTCTCCAGATGATCCAAGTCAGAGAATAGGAGGAGGGACGCTAGTTCCGATTACATCTTATCCATTTGCTACGGCTTTATTGAACAATCCCGGAAGCGGTGTGTTCACTCATAGATGCGGGGGCAGTATTCTAACGAGAAATGCAATTTTGTCGGCAGCTTCTTGTTTTTATACTGGAAACAAGTGAGTATTTTGAAGTTGAAAACACTCACGTAAAGGTAATGAAGGTAAAAATACGATGGAGAGTTAGGCAGGAAAATTAGCATACTACTACAGCCGCAGTATGGGAAAGTGAATGTGGTAGCTTGAAAATACCGTGGTCTAGGACTCGTTCTTTTGGTCAATAGGCCAAACTATTTGGTAGGTGGTAGGTACCTGATAGTTATACCTAGATCATTTTGGGTGTCATAGATGGTAAGCGCGCCATGGGCAGGACGCGATTTCCTTTCTCGCGTACTATAGGAGGCAGTACTGCCTTAGACCACGCACGAGTTTGTGGCGCTAATTCCTTTTCCAAACTAGTTTTCAATTCCAAGCACGTGTACTTCAATGGCGCACGGGTTTGCAATGCAAACTGTTCTTCTAAACACGTGTTCAAAGCTATGAATGGAACTTAGCCATAAAGGGAATTAGCGCCACAAACCCGTGCGTGGTTCAAGGCAGTACTGCCTCCTATTTACTGTACACGGGAAAGGAAATACGTGGGCAGGACACTAGATAGATGGTTAGATTTAATAAAGAAAGCGGTTTGTGGTAGTTTATGCCATGCGGTCCATGCCATCCATGACTGAACAACACTGAGGGAACATTGAGGAAACGATGAAGATGTTAATCTGATAAAGTCCTTTTGCGATGGGTCTTTTACACACGGTAAGTGTTAGGTACTCTGTTTGCTCTTATTCGAGAATGTTGTTTATAAATTGGTCTTCAACATCCTTTATTTTAAATGCGAGATTAAGTCAACATGAGGACTTTATATAATTGTACTATTCAATACAAGGCGGATCGGTAAGACGACGCGCATGTTTGCTATTAGCAGTATAAAGTAGTAAGATCAACTTAGAAATTTTGCGCTATAACCGCCGCCTTAACCCCGCTGAGACAGAGCTCTCTGATCCAGAAAACACGCGCCCTCGGCGCGCGCGACGAAATCCGGTAAAATATAGTCAGTCTTAGTTTATCTGTACTGTTCTCAACTCATTTTGTATTATTTTAGTTACTGTGTTGCTTTTATATTAAAACCTCATAAAAATCAGTGTTAACATAATTTCCATTTCTCTTTCGCAAACAGCCCGGAACACCGAACTCACAAAAACTCACAAAAGCCCCGCCAATCGGACTTTTAGTGTTAAAGCACTCATTTTGTTTATTAAATAAACGATTACTTTTTTCATAAGTCGTTTGTGAACATCTTTTAATAAATTTAATAAAGACGAGTATGAACCAAATTATTATTTTTTTTTTCAATTTTTGCCTGTGAAATGATTAAAAATCATATTTATGAATTACTACGTGAAAACTAAAGGGGGAGAGGGGGGGTCTTGGCATATTCTACGAGTGATCACCGAGGGGAGGGAGAGGTCGAAAAAACTAAAAAAATAGGTCACGTAGTATGGGTACGTTCCCTTAGGAAAAATGGTATCGACCGCATGAATGATGTTTCCGTTCAGTTTCTTTTCTGGCTTCTTTTCTTTCGCGTGAAAGTCATTTATCGTATGGATGTTTAAATAATGAAGGAATTATTAACTATTAACTTTCATTCAAAAGAACTCTTTTTTTTATCGTAAATTTAGTTTTGATTCACCTTGGGCCAATAAGGGCTGTCCAATCCCAAAAAAAAACAATTAAACGCGAAACGTCGATAATTATTTGTTAAAAGTTATAGTATAAGTATTTGTTAAGTGAATTTATGTAATTCTTTTGAGAATAAAGAATATCTTTAACCCGAAAAAAATGTTTTTTTTTGTAGTGCCCACGATGCGGTCTTGTGGCGGGCCAGAGTTGGCTCAGCCTACAGTAATTCTGGAGGAACGATGTACATCATAAGCCGCATCACGCCCCACACTGGCTTCTCTCCCACGACCCGGGCCAACGACATTGCCATTCTCAGGACCAGATTCAACATTCAGTTCGAGGCTGGTCTCGTCGAAGCTGCAGGCCTTGTAGGCCGCACTTACACTTTCAGTAACGACCAAGCCGTTGAAGCGATTGGATGGGGAGCCGTATCTGTGAGTAATGATGCGATACAATTTTGACGCATCAACTTTTCTAATGAATTCCGTACTAGACATCTGGAGATGAACTCTACTCCGCCGCCGGAGTAGATCCATAGATAATTCATACTTTTTTTTATTGCTTGGATGGGTGCACGAGCTCACAGCCCACCTGGTGTTAAGTAGTTGCTGGAGCCCATAGACATCTACGACGTAAATGCGCCACCTACCTTGAGATATAAGTTCTAAGGCCTCGGCTGCCCCGCTCTTCAAATCGGAACGCATTACTGCTTCACGGCAGAAATAGGAAGGGTGGTGATACCTACCCGAGCGAACTCACAAGAGGTCCTACCACCAGTAAACTAGAACTGAGACTTCGAACTCATGTCTCAAGGTGGGCTAGACCGCTAACCAGAAAGTCTGTGAGCTCATTCATCCATCTAAGCTATAAAAAAACACCTCAAATAAGTAAATCAAGTTCGCTCTACAATTTATTATATAGGTTAGGTTGAGGTTATATATATTTTTAGGCAATTCTTCTATTAAAAGAAGTTTTAGCCTATTTCCGTTCTAGTACATGCTAAATAACACCTTCTGTATTTCTAGAATCGTGATTATTAATGATGTACATTTATTCAAGTCAACAGATCCAACGTCTTCGGTTCAGCTGAGGCGTACTGTTATATGGGTGGTGGACCAGCAAATATGTTCAAACAGGTACAGCGAACTAGGCTTCACGGTGGCTAGCGACATGGTCTGTCTTGGGTGGCTAGATGTCGGCGTCAGAGGACAATGTCAGGTAATTTGTCGTTCCGAATTACCTTTTTTTTGTTTCTCCCACCTAAGCTGATTGCCTTGAGAGGCTATTTTAGCGTAAGCTTAACTGGTAGGTGAGCTCGCGGGGCTCAAACTTGACGACGTTGCTAACACGAACCCTAGCAAGAGCTTCGCAGAATCTACCATCGGATCGGAAACGCGACCCACTGACAAGATCCGGCGAGAAACTCAGTGGGCTGTGTCTGTGGGTTAATTTACTTGTCGAGCCCTTCGTCGCAAGCGTCGGGTTCGACGAGAACGATGACCGGTGCTTGAGGTACCTAAAAGCACAGTTAATGGATCGGGAGGTTCCGAAATGACGTGTTTTGGGCGACGTCGACGAATCACCACTAATCAATCAGAGAACCGTTTTTATCTAGGAAAATACGGTAGGTACGTTTCAGTGTGCCGCTATTGGCAATATCCTGAATGAACAATCCAAAATAGAGCAAACCCTTACGCAACGACGACTAATGAATGATTAAAAAATAATAAATTAATAAATGACTGAAACTATTGAATAGTCATAAATCATTTTTTAGAAATTTCGCTCCACCGTGACTGTCGTGAAATGTATCAGGTGTATTAACAAACTCCCAGCGCGCCATATAATATGCATCGAAAGGTTTTAAGGCAAAAACTTCCTTGGAAAGCTATTTTTTTATAGTAACAATTGTACTACTACTATCGGGTCGTCGCGTCGGGACGGGCCTTGGGGGTAACAATTGTACCAAGCTATATCGCTATATATAGGAGTGACAAATGAGAGAGAGAGAGACCAAAAAAAAATAAACAATGCGAAACATTAAATACAAAAAAAATGCAATTGGCTGCCTGATATGATAGCTAAGAGCGATCTCTTCCAGACACCCATCAGGTGGTCAATAATCATTTGGAAACGAATTACACGCGGTGTACCAATCAATTAAATATATATATATATATATATAGACACACACACCTAAACACGTATACATACTATAAATGATTAAGATAATATTACTTCTTTTTGGATTGAATACATTGAATTGTTTATTTTTTGTTTCAGGGTGACAATGGAAGCCCTATTCTGGATAACGGCGCAGTAGTGGGAGTGTTCTCTTGGGCCGAAGGTTGCGCACTGGGTCGGTACCCGGGTATCAATACCCGGCTCTCCCCGTACTTGCAATGGGTTGTCTCTACAGCTACTGCCGCGTAAATAAATAAAAAAACTAACAATAAATAGATAACAGAGGATAAATCGATTGTTTGTTTAAGTTTGTTTCATAGCCTATTGGACTATCGCGAAAATACTTAACTATTTTTATGTCTTATTTGTACAAGTATGACTTTTTTAAATCAGTAAATAAATAAAAAGTAATTTTGACATGTGCACGAAAAAACATATTGCAGTTATTGATTGACATTCACTGAATGCATTCCAAACTTATCTATCTAAATACGTGCAATTTTCTTGAAATTCCTTAAAAAATGGGAAAATTTTAGTACTCCATTACGAAATTCAAGGCCTAGTTACTATCACATCCTTTTCCTCCTCCATTTTAATCTTCACAATCCACCACGTCAGCGTGGGAGCTTTAACTATCTCATACCTACCTCGCCACGCTTGGCTGACTACTTTTTTCTCGGGCTTTCCGTGCCCACTCTTAGTAGATAAGGCGGATTGTGTCGCGCATCTTTGTGGAACCGTCGTGAGTACCGTCTTAGTCGGAAAGGAGGAGCTCTTTGGGACTTAGTCGGTAGTAGGTTCTATGGGGCGGATCTTGGGCGGCTCACGCTGCGGGCTGCCTCGCGCGCCTTCCTAAAGGCGTAGTTTCCTAGGATCAATTGGAAGAGGGCGAAGACTTCGGTCCGCGAACTCTCTGGAGGCGCCTGAGTCCGACATAATCCGGTCTCGACCCCCGACGGCCGCGTAACCGTTAAGTGAGATTCCCCATCAATAAAAAAAGATATGGCGACGCATTAGCCATCAACACAATTATAGAACTCTAACTTAAAAGATCTGAAGCCAGAACATCGAATGTTTCTTATGACAAACGAAACAGCGTTTCCTGTTATCGTAATTGATTGATGATATATACGATTTATAGCTAATTACATAGACTAGAGGTCCCGCAGTAGTCGAACTTCGACTATAATTAATTGGAATTGTAAGTTTGTAAACTATTATGATTGTATTTTATACTTCTATAATCACAAATTTCGCCAAGACTACACTATAAAAAATATTAACAAAGACAAACAATATTTAATCTATTCTCAATTTGACAACAGACGTCAAGAACAAAAGTTTGACAATAAATAGTATGCATGCGTGTGTGCGTCAAATACATGGTATGTAGTGTAGTGTGTGTAATGTTTTCTTTATTGATTTAATGTATCTTTTATGCATTATTTAAAAAAAATATTAGCATTGTGCACTTCTTCTCTATATTCTCTATAAGTGTGGAAAATTTCATACTCCTCCGTCCGCGCAATTTTCGTAAAAAGGGATACAAAGTTTTTGCTTCACGTATTAATATATAGAAGATTCCTGATTCTTATTTATATGTCGGAGACGTTAATTAGTTTGGTAGCATGTGATGGCAGTACGTTTGCGGTATCGTCGGAACTCGGCTAACTTCGTGCTACGACAGAGCCTAGCCGATGGAGGCGCGTAGACGCCATTACACTTACTTACCAACCAGCCTTTTTGAAGAGCGGTGCCTCTGTCCTAAGAACTGTCATTCGTTTTCGTTTGCGAACGTCAAGAGAAGATTTCTAAATTGTTCTAAGACAATAAACGTGATTGGTGTACTCAATATTTCTCGTAGCTCGATCACCCTATTCGCCCCTACGTTGTCTGACGATGGTGTTAATAATTGTGGATTCTCCGACATATTATTATATAAGTTTGTTTTATTTTGTACCATGTGTGTTCTTATGTACTCGGCTGCATTTTAACATATTATAGTACATATAGATTCTTTTACACTTTACCCTTCTTTAAAATCTTCTGTGGCTCTGTTATTGGTTAGCTAGAATAAAACCTATCAATCATTTCTACAATAAATAACGAAACTAAATAAGCATTATCTTAAAGGCTCTTGATTATGTGAATTTCATTTCCTAGGCCGAAACAGCATAGCCTAAATGTGTTATGGATAACCAGCTTCCTTGAGATACTAGAATTAATTTAGAACTAATTTTTCTCTTTCATTCTCTTCTATCAGCCGTCATATCAACACTCACTCCTCTCTCTCTCTCTCATATCGTCATTCACACACTCCATCCAGGTCTTCTTCGGTCGACCTCTTCCCCCTCTACCTTGCACTACCATTTCCATACATCTCCTAGTCACATGCATCTTCTCTCTACGCCTCACATGTCCATGCCACGCTAAACAGGATATATTTAACTGAACACCAATAATTCGACAAAATATTATTGATTCAGAATACATTACTACCTACACAGTTTATTATCTTATACGCCATTAAATAACGATCAATAATACCTATTGTTTTACTGCCGTTAAAACATTATATTTCCATTATAAAAAAATTTAAGATAAAAACATTGACGCTACAAGATAACGTAGATAATTTAAATAACAAAAAAGAACCAGAAATACTAAAGTCTGGGTATTAAGTTTCTGTGTGATTACGTGAATCATGTACAAATAAATATTTTGTACAACCTAATTTAATTACATAATGAAATTGAAAGTTGTGTTTTTCCACAAGGTGAGAATGTGACAAAAGGAGAGCGTTGGTCATAATTTACTGGTGGTAGGACCTCTTGTGAGTCCGCGCGGGTAGGTACCACCACCCTGCCTATTCCTGCCGTGAAGCAGTAATGCGTTTCGGCTTGAAGGGTAGGGCAGCCGTTGTAACAATGCTTGAGACCTTAGAACTTATATCTCAAGATGGGTGGCGCATTTACGTTGTAGATGTCTATGGGCTCCAGTAACCACTTAACACCAGGTGGACTGTGAGCTCATCCACCCATGTAAGCAATAAAAAAAAACAAAAAAAAATGCGCTACTCGTTACCACGCAGAACATAATGATATGGTACCTTTAGAATTAAAGTGGCTTAACTAAAACAATTAAGAACATTATATTCATACTTCGAACTACTCACGACCACTCATGTTAAGTGGTTACCGGAGCCCATAGAAATCTACAGCGTAAATGCCGCCACCCTCCTTGATATGAGTCGACTATTATCAAAGGCGGCAATCTGACTTTTGGACAATGATTGGTAAATCAGAAAAACGAATTATTGACTTTGTATTCCATTGGCAGTCACAAAACTCTTCGGAACAACATCTTAGATAAACAACAGGTTAACTATTAACCTTTATTTAATGCAGGTTTTGAACCGTATTCTTTGAAGGTGACGATTATATTCAAATAAATCTGTATTGACATATCAATAAATTTTTTTTGTCCAAATGTACAGATTGCCACCTTTGATAATAGACGACTCATATATGAGTTCTAAGTTCTCAGTATAGTACATGTAAAACATGTAATCCATCAGTTTATAAAATTGAACAGTCCGTTTTTATCCAGAAAAAACTTTTTTTGCCCCTACCTATTTACTGGTAGCTAAACGTAGCTTAAGTACGCTCGGACGGGTAGGTGAGCTCACGGGCTCAACCTGAGTGAATTTGCTAACACAGCTCTTCGCTCAGTGTTTCAGAGTGCTCTAGCAGACGCTTCACTCCAACGGGCGATGAAGAGGAATTAATATAGACACTGCGCATTGGATATTGAAAATTTCACCGTATACTGGTTGCAGTAGCTATCGCTGCCATATCGCACATTTAACATTGAAATGGCTCGATCCGAAATTCTTATTTATTTGGTAAACTCCAAAAGTGTAATTGTTGAATTGTAATTGTTTTAGTTTTTCGATTTTAATACTTTAAAGTATGCGTTTGTTTTAAAAGCTAGAGATAGAGTATGTTTGTCATTTTCCGGAGGGCCAAAACGCTACTTTGAAAAACCGGCGAAACACGATGTTCCTCTTATCGTGGCCGCCCGCAACTAGATTCCCGATCCTGCAGACCGAATGGTAAACAGTCGATGTCGCCCTAAGCACGTCATTTCGGATCTTCCCGATCCACTAACGATGCTCTTAAGTACCTCAAGCACCGGTCACCGTTCTCGTCGAATCGGCTCGGCGAGTAAATTAACCCATAGGCACAGCCCACTGAGTTTCTCGCCGGATCTTCTCAGTGGGTCACGTTTCGGATCCGGTGGTAGATTCTGCGAAGCACTGCTTTGCTAGGGCCAGTGTTAGTAACGTCCTCAGGTAAGAGCCCCATGCGCTCACTTACTCGTCTGGAGAATCTAGTATAACCCCTCGAGGTTACTAGAGTAGTTTTAAAAACAAAACGCTCGATAATATTATGCAGGCTAATATTAATTCTTTTAAGAACACGAAAGTACTGTTTTTTCAGCGTACATGTATGTACACAAATGACTTTTAATACCGCTGAAATAAATAATTGTAGTCGTTCAAATAAGCGTAACGCCCGTATCAGTATCGGTCTTAAGTCTTTCTCGTATCAGTGCGCTGGAGACCGCAGTCATGCGCGGTCGATGTTTCGTCATCATAGTACTTCGAATTGTTCTTACGAGCAGCAGTGTACCGTTCGACAATCGATATCTTGTTCACAGTGAGTATCTTATCGGTGTATACTTGGTGGTTTTTGACACAGTTTTATATTTTGGCATTTCAAATGTTTTTATATCCTTTAGATTCCAATATCTTTAGATAATCTTTAGTTTTTATTGCTTAGATGGTTGGACGAACTCACAGGTCATCTGGTGTTAAGTGGTTACTGGAGCCTATAGACATCTACAACGTAAACGCACCACCCACCCGAGATACAAGTTCTAAGGTTTCAGTATAGTTAAAACGGCTGCCCCACCCTTCAAACCGAAACGCTTTACTGCTTCACGGCAGAAATGGGCAGGGCGGTGGTACCCACCCGCGCGGACTCACAAGTGGTCCTACCAGTAGATAATCAATTAGATTTAAGAGTTTCGAGTTAACAGCGCCTAAATATTGTTTTGTGGGTAATTAAAAATGTTGAGTACGTCTTAGTAGCTAGCTGCGCGCGTCAGCTGTGGTTATATTTGTGTTACATCGCGCGCATATCAAAAATAAACAGATGTGGTTATATTTGTGTTACATTGCGCGCATATCAAAATAAACAGATTTAAAAATTCGATTGCAATTCTTAAGCGTTCTCGTGCGATGACTCGTGACAGTCACTTGTCACTTAAAGTGATACTTAAAATAATTTATGTCATACTAGTGTTTAAAATAATTTACGACTACTACTAGTTGGCCTTGAATTCTTATACAGGGTGTAAAAATACCATTAAGCAAAATCGAAATAGCCATCAAACCATCGTGAGCCAAAAGCTATGCTATTTTACGAAATCAAGCATACGCATTGGTCATTTTGGTAAATTATACTTCAGACTTCAGACTTGCTACTTAGCAAGTTCCTTGTAGGCCCTTAATACCGTGCCCTAGGATATTTTAATCTAAATATTACATAAAAAATTTAAAATTTTTAATTATAATAGGTCTTTCTTACCTATGTATGTAGTTGCCGTTTTATAATACTGGCCATTTGAAACTTTTTTTTATTGCTACGTTGTATCGACGACTCACGGCCCACCTGATGTTGAGTGGTCATCGGAGCCGCGCGGAATGTCGCCGCCCATTTCTAGACATGAGTTCTAACTCTCATTTTTTATAGTACAACGGCTGCCCCACTCTTCCAACAGAAACGCATTACTGCCTCAAAGCAGAAATAGGCAGGTTGGTGGTACTCATCCGTATGGGCTCACAAGAGATCCTACCACCAGTAATTACAAAAATTATAAATTTTCCATGTTTGATTTTTGTGTTACACGATGTTATTCCTTCGCCGTGGAAGTTATTCGTGAACATTTGTTAAGTGCGTATTTCATCAGAAAAATTGGTAAAATTCGCTGTGCCGACCCCATCGAGTCGGATAAGGTGGAGACAAAGAGAGAGGTCAGCTTCTTCGGAGGGAAAAAATTATGTTCCACAGAAGCAGTAGAAAATGCCGTTGAAGAGTTTTTCAACTCCCGTACACCAGACTCCTTCAGGAGGTATATTGAAATATTACCATTGCGCTGGCAGATATGCATCGATATCATGGGTGTCTATTTTGTATTGTAGAAATATGAATTTTATTTTTAGAAGAAAAACAAAGACTTCGTTATACAAAACGGTAATTTCGTAGATAAAGACCTAATGTAATTAGAATAATAAAAAAACAGCAAGATTAAGCCGTAAAAGTAAATAGTTTTAATTATGTGTATTACTTGCGAAGCCGAAAAAACAAAGTATTTTATCATTACATGCAGACTTTCGTTCGCGTATTTTTTTGTTATTATGTTAGTAAGTCCCAAGCCGAGACTGGTCCTCGTGGGGGATAAAGACCACAACCCTCCAACAATACAAAAAAAACAACTACAAAGACACAAAAATATACGTCGCAGTCTTTAACGTACTCACGCTGAAGAATGAAGAAAATCTTATAGAATTAAATGACGACATAAGACAAGTGGCAGGCGTCACGTGGAACAGAGTGGCTCAAAAAAGGCATGAGTGGAAAAGGTTGGAGGAGGCCTTTGTCGATTGGCAAACAGATCGGTAGAAAATAAGAAAAATTCAAATAATAGATTAAGGTTTAAATAAAATTCAAGTTTTCTATATACAGGGTGGCCCATAAGTCCTTTGATATGAAAAAAAAATTATTAAAATAAAACTAATTACATTATGAATTAAATTTTTATTTACATAAAAAGCTTAAAAAACGGGAATTATTTTTTGAAAATAACATCTCCTAAATGTAATCCGTTGCGATCACGGCACTCTTGCAAACGACGTCTAAAATTGTCGATGACTGCGCGGCACGNAGTCCGCACGGGTAGGTACCACCACCCCGCCTATTTCCGCCGTGAAGCAGTAATGCGTTTCGGTTCGAAGGGTGGGGTAGCCGTTGTCACTATACTGAGACCTTAGAACTTATATCTCAAGGTGGGTGGCGCATTTACGTTGTAGATGTCTATGGGCTCCAGTAACCACTTAACACCAGGTGGGCTGTGAGCTCGTCCACACATCTAAGCAATAAAAAAAAAAAAAAAAAAAAAAAAAACCAACAATATTGACTCAGTTGTGTCAAAAAAATAAATAAAAAAATATGAAAATTGGGTGCCCCATGATTTGACTGATCTGCAGAAAGAAACGCGTGTTTAAACTTGTGTTGCCTTGCGGAATCGATACAGAAATGAAGGAATATTGGATCGAATTGTGACATGTGATGAAAAGTGGATTCGTTACGATAACTTCCGGTAACCGTCCTCGTCGAACCCGTCGCTTCCGACGAAGGGCTCGACGAGCGAATTAACCCATAGACACAGCCCACTGAGTTTCTCATCGGATCTTCTCAGTGGGTCGCGTTTCCGATCCGATGGTAGATTCTGCGAAGCACTGCTCTTGATAGGGCCAGTGTTAACAACACTCCCGGTTAGAGCCCCGTGAGCTCACCTACACGTCAACGAAAAGCTGAAATAACCAAAAAAAAACGATAACCGTAAGTGAAAAATGCAATGGCAGACCCCAGTTCAAACGCCGCAATAGTGACCTAAAGCAAAGCGTACCAATAAAAAGGTAACGGTAACTGTTTGGTGATCCCAGCATGGTGTTCTTCACTATAGCTTTCTCCGATCTGGTCAAGTAATAACGGCAGATGTCTACTGTGCCGAACTACGAACAATGATAGCAAAACTTGCAGTGAAATCGATCTTCACCATTATTGCTCCATGATAACGCGAGACCTCATACAGCACGAGAAACCGTTTTAACTCTACAGGAACTGCCATTAGAAACCATTCGTCACCCTCCGTATTAGCCAGACCTTGTTCCAACGGTCTAGCATTTATTCGTGACTCGGACAATTTTCTACGTGATAAAAAGTTTTCTTCCCAGGAGGCAGTACAATATGCTTTCACGCAGTTTGTAGAATCTAGATCACCAGAGTTCTATTGCAAAGGCATAAATGACCTTCGTATTAGATGGCAGCAATGTATAAATAATAATAGTAGTTTTTGACGTGACAACGTCTTATAATTCGATGGAGCCGGCTGAACGCACGAAAAAAATGACTCATGCGGCGTTACCTCGCTCTGAGGTATTCCATTTAAGGCTTGAAGTGCAAGCGAGAGCGCGCAACGAGCGATAAAGAGGCACAATCAGCGTCCGCGTTCGGCAGCGTTCGACATCTCTCTCTCTCCTACTTGAGTGAGCGATGCATCCGCGTGGACAGCTGGTATACAATAATACATTTACATGTTTTCGTCAAGTATGAAGTTCAGTGAAAAATTAATGTGGTGTCAATTGTTTATAGCAACGATAATTGCGATAATTGAAAAATGAAACCATTCCATCAGTATTTTCTTATGACGTTGTCACGTTCAACTATCGTCCGTAAACCGACTTTACAGACAACCGATTTTTTTTTATTAAACAAATATGTTAAATCGCTCATAATTACCCATAAGAAAACTTATGAAGTTTTCAGATCGAACACTGCACAAAACCGAACCTTTCACAATAGTTGTTTGTTCACGAATACAATTCATTTATAATTCGTATTTATGCTGCATATACGAGTATGTTGGATGTAAACAATTTGTCCTTGCCTGTAGACAAAAACAAATGTTAACTTAGCTGTTGCATTCGGTTTAACAAAGGCGCAGACCGCATGACTGCAATTCCGTTGACCGTATAATAATATGTACGTCGCGACGAATAAAAAATTGACAATTCCTTTTTTTGGCAACGTCGTAAAAATCGATGAGCACTGGCTGCACGCACGAAAAGGTGTCACGTTCCGTCCGAACCTGAGCGTGCAAGCGAGAGCCCTGAACAAGCGATAGAGAGGTACAATCGGCCCAAGCGTTGGCTTGTGGCAAATTTGAGAGATAAATCTCCTCGCGTGACGTCAGAGCCAACAATTCGAATAGTTCTGCGGCTGGCGTTCATTATTCTCTTGCTCTCCTCCCAGTCACTTGGGGTCGGCGCATGTTTTCTTCTTTCATACTCCTCTATCATATACCATTTCTACGCTCACTCCCCTCTGTCACACAATCCATCCATTTTTTCCCTTCCCTTCCTTTAAAGCCTTCCATATTCATAGTTAAAACTCTCTTACCAACCTCATTGTCATTTCTTCTCATTACATGTCCATACCTTCCCAAACGCGCACTTCTCAACTTTTCTGTCACAGGTGCCACTTTCAGACTTCCTCTAACATTTCCCGCTACACATTCTGTTCTGCTACTGACGTTATCACGTAAAACGACTTTACAGACAACCAATTATTTTGTTTCATCTAACCGCCACCAACATTTTCGATCGAGAAAATTTCCAGCAAAAAGGTACATAATGAAATATTTCTCTTGTGTTTCAGACGACACCAAAATAGAGTTGGAGCCGCTGCTTATCTCTACTAAAGTCAACGAAACCATAACTATATCTGCACCGTATCTCAGAACGAAATATTCACATCACTATTTGTACACACCGACTGGTGACGTCATAGATTTAGACTCGGTGGAGTCGATTCAAAGCAACAATAAAAACGATTTTGATGACATCAGAATAAACGTCACGTCTCTAAGGAGAGATAGTTCGGAGCTAATAACGCTGGGCCCGCTGATCGAAAGCGACCACGGCAATTGGGTGCTCAGTGTCTTCTACCCAGATATCGACGGCAATTGGGTGGAACTATTTCAAATAATAACCGTCGAAATTATTGGTTAGTACGATTTATCTATACTAATATATAAATCTACAGTGGTTTTTACGGATGTTCCCTTATAACTACTGAAACATGCATCGGATTGACTTGAAACTGGGTATCTATATAGAAAATACATGTACTTAATGGATAGGCTAATATTTATATGAGTGTTGGACTCCCTACACCAGTTGCAGGGGCATTATTGATGAGAATCTTTGTGGGGGTGAGAAATAATGATGTTAATTTTAAATGCCCAGCGAAACGGACGGGTGCAGCTAGTTTATTTATATTATTGCTTTTACTGCTCCTGGTATTAAGTGGTTAGACGTGTGTGTGTGTGTGTGTGTGTGTGTGTGTGTGTTATAGTGTAGTATTTCTCTCGTTGGCTATCGACTTGTGATCACCTTATTGGCTTAGCAGTAGCGGCTCGGCTTTATTTGCTCACAACCTATATGGTGTTAAATGGTTACTGGAGCCCATAGACATCTACAACGTAGACGACGGCACCCACCTCGAGACATGAGTTCTAAGGTCTCAGTTTTACAGTACAACGGCTGCCCCGCCCTTCAAACCGAAACGCATTACTGCTTCACGGCAGAAATAGGCGGGGTGGTGGTACCTACCGACCTACACAAGACGTCCTACCACCAGTTAATACGACAGAGAATAGAATCATTAACTACTAATCGTTTTAGTGTGACCTGTTCGCAAAATTTCCTAGCTTGATCGATTTTGCGTTTTTGCAACTTTATCGATTACCTCTAAGATAATGTCTAGCCATGGGTGGGGTTACAGAAAAAAATGGTTAAATGGTGTAAATTCTGTGTTTTTTCGACATCTTCGTTGACGGATAAATAAGCGTTCGATAAGAAACTATCCGAATCTCACAATAGTCCTGCTAACATATCGATACTGTATTTCGTTGATGTATACAAACGAGACAATCTCCCGAGAAAACCAAACATTTACATTTCCAGATATGGCAACACTAAAAACAAAAAACTACGTAAAAACTCTCGATTTTTCCAGAAACAAATTCCGAAGTCCACTATCAAGTTCCGATCGGGAGTGCGTTTCGTCCTAAATTACCCCGACCTATTATCGATCTACAGAGCTGCGAATTATCGTCTCCAGAGACAACGTTCGATCGATATTATGATCGAATGGGAAACGATCCGAACTGCGAATTCATAGTCGAGAATACAACTAAGACTGATCAAGGACGATGGACCGTAATCGGAATTGGACGGATTGTACACAAAATAGTATATAACTTGGAAATTTTAGACGTGAGATGACTAATAAACTGAAATTTATGGAAAAAAACTACAAATCTATTTATTTATTAAAATGAGGATGACGTATTATTAATGACTCCCGCAATGAACGAATAAGATCCAAAATTGTAGAAATTAAATCCGCAAAAAATATATTTAGCGTTATTAGTGGTCTTGTGAACCAACACAAATAGGCACCATTGTCATGCCCATTTTTGCCGCCTATTTAGGCAGTACTTGGTGATGTCTATGGGCTACGGCGGCCACATAACATTAGATCGGCCGTGAACTTGCCTGTAGCACAGAAAACTCTTTCACAGCGCTGGTGTTGTCACTTATTTACTATTAACATAAAATTGTTGATACCGCAATTTATTCCTGTACCACATGCATCTAATGTTGGTCGATGCAAATATTAACTGAGTCAACAAGTTTTTAATTAATTATAAAAAATAATTCAATTCACATTTTGCTGTCCATTGCTTGCAGTTTTTTTTTAATGATCGTTTAGAATTTGTTTTGAACAATGTTTTTTTTTCGCATGCTTTTTTGCCTTTGACATGTGTACCATACCAGTCATTCCTTTTAGTCCGATGTAAATTTTTTTATTGGTCTTGTAGGCAGACGATCATACGGCCCACCTGATGGTGAGTGGTTACCGTAGCCTATGGACGTCAGCAATGCCAAGGGCAGAGCCAAGCCGCTGCCTACCGCAAAGGTATCATTTGAAGGGAATCCTATGTAAATAAATTTGCTTGATGCATATCGCCTTCTCGCGTTAAAACTGTATAATCTCAAAACTTACTAATTGTACACAATAGTGTTTTAAAGGTTTAGCATGTGATATTTTTAATTAATCATCTTTGCAACATTTATTTTTTATATTTTACCAGTTACATTATATGTCTTTTAAAGTAAGATAAAATTATGTGTTAATTTTGTTAATAGTAGTCAAAACATAGGTAGTCTAAAAAAAAAAAACTAAACTACGCTCTTTTGACAGTATTTATGAGAAAAATTTGGTGATACCAAATGTTTCTGCATATTAACTCAATTTCGAATATTTTTGGAAGCTGTACACTTTTAATGCGAAAAGACGATAATATGAATCATATCCCTTCGTTCAGTATTTGGAGACCTTCAGTACTGCATCACGGCATCTAGCTTCGAGTCGATCCCGTCACAGAACACAAAAGAAAACCGTCGAAGAATTGTTCTCAAAAATATATTCATATTTTTTTTATTGCTTAGATGAGTGGAGGAACTCACAGCCCACCTGGTGTTAAGTGGTTACTGGAACCCATAGACATCTACAACGTAAATGCGCCAGCCACCTTGAGGTATAAGTTCTAAGGTCTCAGTATAGTTACAACGGCTGCCCCACCCTTCAAACCGAAACGCATTACTGCTTCACGGCAGAAATAGGCGGGGCGGTGGTACCTACCCGTGCGGACTCACAAGAGGTCCTACCACGTTGAAGAATTGTTCTCAAAAATATATTCTTAAGTGAATTCAGAATTAGAGTAGGTACGTTTAACGGAACAATATTTTTTTTTATTATTATTTTTTAATTAACCTCATTAACGACAATGCCACAGATAACAGACAGCCGGTTGTAAATGCGAAATGAAATTACTTCTGGCATTTACGTGTACGACACAAGTACCTACAAATACTCTATATATTATATATCGACGCTTGAAAGGCAAACGTGACTAAGCGACAATAACTGCTTTGTACATAAATGATAGGCAATAACCATATTCGATGCGCAAAAAAAAAATATTTTTAGGTCTATTAAAATCATTTCAATCCTACAGCTATTACCTAGATTCTACTACAGATAGATTCGTTAAAATAAATTTTGATTTCAGGTATTTCAGCTTTAAATTAGTCTACTGTAAAGTTCACGCATTGTCGCTTAGTCACGTTTGCCTTTCAAGCGTCGATATGTGGCATGGTATGGCGATATCTAGTGGATATTTAGTTAAACAACAAAATCTTTTATTCCTTAAAAAAAAAAAAATACTATTCCTAACATCGTTAAGTCAATTTGTTTTCTGTTATTAATATTTTCTTCTTTTAAAATAAAACTAGTGTGCCAGTGTTAATTAATAAAAAAGTATCGATCTTCCCACTTATTTTTTTTTTTGTTTAATTAATTTTACACATTTTATATTTTTTTAAATGAGTGCTAAAGTATCTACAATTTTTGAAACGCGTGTTAAGCAAAGGAGCTTAGTCCGCGTTATGCGGTTACCAGAGGCCATAGACATTGTTATTGTCAGCTCGCACATTTTACTCGTGCGATGTTGTGATAGTTTACTGAGACATTCATCGCACTTAATACTAAAAACTAACGTAGATTTAATAAAACTTTTGTAGTTTAATCTCATTCGAGTTACAATTTTATTTAGCTATAATTACAGAGAAACAAAGTTACACAAGTTAAAGTACTTGAATAACAGTCTACTCGCTCCCGCTGGCGCTTCCGCTTCCGCTGCCGCTGCCGCTTCTGGGTTGCGAGTCCCCAGCGCCGCCCGCGTCGCTTCCCTCGTCGTCCGAGTCCTTGAGCGCTTTGGCGCGGTCCAAGCGACGAGCGCGACGCGTCTCTACGTCGGAAGCGTCCGATTCTGACGAGTAGATCGCCGCTCCGGCCGACGCTATAACGTTAACATGTCCTTATTAAATTTCGATTCTTAAATCCTTGTTCAGTGAAACATTTTGAAGTCGTCGTGGCCTAAAGGATAAGACATCCGGTGCATGCGTATATAGCGATGCAAGTGTTCGAATTCCGCAGGCGGGTACTAATTTTTCTAATGAAATACGTACTTAAAATGTTCACGATTCACTTCCACGGTGAAGGAATAGCATCGTGTAATAAAAATTAAACCCGTAAAATTATAATTTGCGTAATTGCTGGTGGTAGGACGTCTTGCGAATTCGCACGGGTGACTACCACCATGCTGCCTATTTTTGTCGTGAAGCAGTAATGCGTTTCGGTTTGGAGGTTGGGACGAGCTTTTGTACTGTTAAAACCTTAACCTTAAAACCTTAGAACTCTGGTCTCAAGTTGGGTGGCGGCTTTTACACTGTAGATGTCTATGGAAACTTCCGGAAAAATCCGCCAGCCACCTTTTCGTAATGATATCAAAGTCTCAACTGTATCTGTATCGTATTCATATTATTATATATGTATGAATGTATTTATATCATTTTTTTTTTTTTTTTTTTTTTTATTGCTTAGCTGTGTGGACGAGCTCACAGCCCACCTGATGTTAAGTGGTTACTGGAGCCCATAGACATCTACAACGTAAATGCGCCACACACCTTGAGATATAGTTCTAAGGTCTCAGTATAGTCACAACGGCTGCCCCACCCTTCAAACCGAAACGCATTACTGCTTCACGGCAGAAATAGGCGGGGCGGTGGTACCTACCCGTGCGGACTCACAAGAGGTCCTACCACCAGTAATTACGCAAATTATAATTTTGCGGGTTTCATTTTTATTACACGATGTTATTCCTTCACCGTGGAAGTCAATCGTGAACATTTGTTGAGTACGTATTTCATTAGAAAAATTGGTACCCGCCTGCGGGATTCGAACACCGGTGCATCGCTTCAACACGAATGCACCGGACGTCTTATCCGTTAGGCCACGACGACTATAAATGTATTGACTATCCCACACATAAAAACGGAATGTGAGACTGAGAAATAGACAGAATGGTATACTTCACTAATGTATACTTCATGTACACATGACAATAATTATCATCAATATAAACTTTACAATAGTAATTACGACAAATTAGTACGAGGAAGAGGGGGAGAGAGAGAGAGGGGGGAGAGAGAGAGAGAGAGGGGGGTGAGAGAGAGGGGGGGGTGAGAGAGAGAGAGAGAGAGAGATATACCTTTCTGTCCCTGTTTGTATTTGTTCTTAATAGCCTGCAGTGAGACGGCGCCGTCGTCGTCGGAGTCGTCGTGTCGCGCTCTAGCCGCTCCCGCTCGTCGCTTGGGCCGCGTCGAAGCGCGGGACCGCATGGCAGCGCGGAGCTCCATCTCCTCTTTCTATATCACGAACACACACTTGCCTTTAGAACTACAACTGGGCAGATGAACAACGTCACTACGTCCGTCAGTCTGACGTTAACGAGTCCATGGACATAACAAATTTCGGTCAGTTTCAAACAAGATTTCAACTGCATTAGTCTATAACGTTTATCGATTTCTGTAAGTCAGAAATTTTTGGCAAGAAAATTAAATGTCGAATTTAGAGTCGAGTATTAGAAATCTAAAACACCTCGACGAGACTTGAGTCGGGTTTATTAAACAGTCAACTTGGAATGACTCATACATAGTCATCAGAAATACAAAAGCCCCAGGTCGGAATTATATTCTATTCTATTAGGTACATACATGTGCCTAAAAATATATATAAATATATGTATAAGTTTATCAATCTAATTACAATTTTTTTTCGGGATTAAACTCGGAACCCGTGATACATACTGGTGGTAGGACCTCTTGTGAATACGCACGGGTGGGTACCACCAGCCTACTTATTTCTGCCGTGAAGCAGTAATGCGTAGTAACTATACTGAGACCTTAGAACCCATATCTCAAGGTGGGTGGCGGCATTTACGTTGTAGATGTCGATGGGCTCCAGTAACCACTTAATAGCAGATGGGCTGTGAGCTCGTCCACATATCAAAGCAATAAAAAAAACACACAGAGACACACACGCACACACGTCTCACAATAAAAATATAAAAACGAGACAACTTCCAGACACTGAGTTTCTCGCCGGATCTTCTTAGTGGGTCGCGTTTCCGATCCGGTGGTAGATTCTGCGAAGCACTGCTCTTGCTAGGGCCAGTGTTAACATCACTCCGGCTTGAACCCCGTGAGCTCACTAGTTACGCTGAAATAGCCTTCACAAGGCTATCAGCTTAGGTAGAAAAAAAAAACAGCTGACCTTGAGCTGGTACTTCCTGTCGGCGTCGGGATCGGCCCCGACCTGCGACAGTATCTTGATCGCGGACGTCTTGCTGGAGCGGTCCGCCAGCGACAGCGTCATCTTTCGGTGGGTGAAGGACTCCGTCGAGTGCGGCCTGAACGAGAGCTTCGTGCGGAACACCGCCTGGCCCTGCAGCCCGGTGCCTTGGCGGACGAATAGGTGGTTGTGGTCGCCCTGACCAACAAAAAAAACATCGGTATACATTATTAAAATTAAATAAAAGTAGCTTCAGTGCGCTTCCTTACGTTTGCCGCTAGAGGTGCTGTTCTAACTCCATACAAATTTGATATAATGACTAGCTGACCCGGCAGACTTCGTAGTGCCTCAATCGATAAATAAAAAACCTAAACTTTTGTATAAAATAAACTTAAAACAAAAAAAGGAATCCGTCCGAGGGGGGAGACATCAAAGGAAAAACAAAATTATTATTTTTATTTCATTTCGAGCATTTTTATATTTATCTACCTTTTAAACCTTCCACAAATAATTCAAGACCAAAATAAGCCAAATCGGTCCAGCCGTTCTCCAGTTTTAGCGATACTAACGAACAGCAATTCATTTATATATATATAGATAGAAGATAGATAAATAGATTTACACGATCGAGACGTCAGAACGTCAAGAAGTCGGACAATAAAAAAAAAAACGCGAGACTAAACAGTAAAAGCGATGTAATGATTAATGATGCGCATGAAACTAATGATGAAATCGTAACTTCTTTATCATTCTCCTGCCCTTCTTCCAGTCACCTGGGGTTGGCGCAACATGTTTCCTCCTACCGTTTCATAGGTCTACCTCTTCCTCAAAAGCCTTCCACATTCATAGTTAAAACTCTCTCTCTCTCTCACTCCCTCCCCCCCTCCCCTACCTCTCCCCCTCTCTCCTCCCATCTCTCCCCCTCTTTCTCCTCCTATCTCTCCCTCCTCTTTCTCTCCTCCGATCTCTCCCCCCCTCTTCTCCATCTCGTAAAACGAAACTCACGTGTAAAGGTTGTTTGTACACGTCAAATATCTCGGCGCCGAGGTGCAGCGACATGCTGCCGTCCGACCACTTCACCATGCGCGCGTTGGACTCTTTCACCGCGTTGCCTTCCTTATCGAACACCGTCCGCCATCGTATCGTGTTCTCGACTTTCAGCTTTAATCTGTTAACGCAGAGCTTAGAGTTCAATAGCAAGAAACCGTGTCGCAGACATCAAGTGTTCAGATGAAATAACATCATGTAATACGAATCGAACGCACGAAGATTACAATGACAATTTTCTACTGGTGGTAGGACGTCTTGTGAGTCCGCACGGGTAGGTACCACCACCCCGCCTATTTCTGCCGTGAAGCAGTAATGCGTTTCAGTTTGAAGGATGGGGCAGCCGTTGTAACTATACTGAGAACTTAGAACTTATATCTCAAGGTGGGTGGCGCATTTACGTTGTAGATGTCTATTGGGCTCCAGTAACCACTTAACACCAGATGGGCTGTGAGTTCGTCTGCCCATCTAAGCAAGAAAAAAAAATTGTCAATAAGAAAAAAAAAGACAAAATTTATCGAAATGAATTTAAATCTTGTAACGTCAATGATTACGGTCGATTTTCAATCGTTGGACGCATAGAGTTACATAAACAGACTGTATAGATCTTACAAACAAATCTAGACATGATTGGTTCTAATGTATAACAGATCTGTACGACAAACTGAGGATAAGATTTCCTTATATACATCACAGCGCCATACCAATTACCCAAAGAAGCAGACATTCTTGTTAAAGCAATTTTTGCGGAAAATATCCAATCAACGTTTGGTCGTGGAATTAATTAACTTATTACTAAGGAAAGCTCAAAGAAACGGGTGCTGATTTTGACAATTTAAAAAAAAATACGATACCTGGCACGACCTTCCTCATCCAGGGTCTCCTCTTCATCGATTTCATCTTCGTACGTGTTAGGATCATAAGGCCTCGTATCGACCGACAAAAAGTTGGGTAGTTTGACAAAGTGCAATTCCTTCCCCAATTCCGTCCATATCTTGGGCATGTCCACATCGATCCTCGTCTCCGGAACCTCGATTTCCTCTTCCTCTTCGGGCTTTTCGCGAACTTCCTGCTAAAGTGCCAAATCTTTGAGCCACTTAGCAATGACTAAAAAGATGTCAAGTTGATGTGCTCTATTTGCCACATAGATGTAACATAGATGCTAAGTTGTTAATGCCTATTCGTCGCATTCATGATTCATCAGAATCAAATATCCTAAAATAAATCAGAGATTAAGAGAGATTATTTTCACGAACGCAGACACAGTGTCTACACACATATGTCGCAGAACCGATAACCGTTGGGGTAGACGTGTTCTGGAGTGGAGACCGCGAATCGGCAAATGTAGTTTAGGACGCCCTCCTGCTAGATGGAGCGACGACCTGCGCAAGGCAGCTGGCAGTAACTGGATGCGTGGAACCGAAGATCGGGTTCAGTGGCGAGCTTTGTGGGAGGCCTATGTCCAGCAGTGGACACAGTGTCGGGCTCATGGCTAGTCTTATAAACTGGTTACTGAAGTTCATAGGCACAAAGTCAATATTTCAGTCAAAAATGAGGTGAACTTTCTTTCTTGGATGATGATTGAAATGGGCAGTATGAGTCTATTCAACAGGAACACCTTCCTCATAGAAGTAGGTATTTTTTATTGAATAAGGGATTACTGATGGCCTTTCCAGTTTCACCAGGACTGGTGAGCGAGCAAAGATTCAACTAGGAGGGACGGGACTAACAGCTGCCCGAGCGCCTCCAAAGGAGACCTAACAATTCAAGAGCAGCTGCTTCGCGAATGAATCTACGAGCGGATTGGAATCGCAACCCGCTGAGAAGATCCGGCGAGAAACTCAGCCAACTGATGCATGAGTTATGAGTACGGTTAACGGGGTCCCTAAGCCTGCTCCTAGCGTTAGAGCTGAAGGCGTCTAATTCAAGAATTATTTGATCTGATGGATCCGTAAGAACGTGAGAAGTAAGTCATGACAACAGAAAAATACCATATTAGTATCTTCGATCACCTATCTGTTGATCAAAACTTATAGCATCACTCACCGAATTACCTATCACTGAGGAACTACAGACCGCCAAAGACGTGTGGAGGAGAATTGCATAACGAATGCTCATAGACACGACCTTCAGGAACGTTATGAAGCTATATATGAGCGACTCGGAAGAATAAGGACACAACTTCAAATTATCAACAACCAAAAAATGTATATTATACCTCATCACCACTTCTACGATCTTCGGATCGTCTATCTTCAGACCTACTTCTCGAACGCGACCGATCGGAACGCTTGTCTTGATCTTTCTGTTCTTCATCTTCTGTGCTTATGTCTGACGCGTCACCGAACAACGCGTCAGCGGTCACTGTCAGGAAAAATATGTTTTATTTATTAATATACTAGCTGACCCGGCAGACTTCGTAGTGCCTCAATCGATAAATAAAAGACCTAAACTTTTCTATACTTTTGTCACACACACATCAAAGGAAAAACAAAATTGTTATTTTTATTTAATTCCGAGCATTTTCATATTTATCTACCTTTTAAACCTTCTCTGGACTTCCACAAATAATTCAAGACCAAAATTGGCCAAATCGGTCCAGCCGTTCTCGAGTTTTAGCGAGACTAACGAACAGCAATTCATTTTTCATTTAGCTATTTATTGCATAGGTGGTTAGGTGGTTACCGCAGCCCAGACATCTACAAAGTAAACGCCACCTACCTTGAGATATGAGTTCTAAGGCATCAGTATAGTTACAACGGCTGACTCGCCTTTCAAACAGAAACGCATTACTGCTTCACAGCAGAAATAGGCTAGGTGGTGGTACCTACCCGTGCGGACCCACAACACGTCCTACCACCAGTAAAAACTATACACTTCCTCAGTATCAGTACGCTACATACATATATGCATCAACTATACATTTTAAATATATAGTAATCTTCATAAACCTTTCAGTATTATGACTATTTTGTTATGTATATGTATTTTGATATTACATTTTCAACATAAATTTACATTTATACAATGAGCAATCATATTTTTCTTTTTTTTTATTGCTTAGATGGGTGGACGAGCTCACAGACCACCTGATGTTAAGTGGTTACTGGAGCCCATAGACATCCACAGCGTAAATGCGCCACCCATCTTGAGATATAAGTTTTAAGGTCTCAAGTTTAGTTACAACGGCTGCCCCACCCTTCAAACCGAAACGCATTACTGCTTCACGGCAGAAATAGGCAGGGTGGTGGTACCCACCCGCGCGGACTCACAAGAGGTCCTACCAACAGTAAAAAATGGACGGACGGTATCCAGCTTAGTAAAATATCTTCCCTTGGTCGTAATCCCCAAACGTGTAATATGAGATGTTTAAAACGATTCCCCATTTTCTGTTAAACAATATTATTCAATGTGAATATTCACATACCATTATCTGCCTTATTTTCGTTTTCTACATCAGAACCATCATCTAATATCTTCGTCTTCTTTTTAGGCTTTCCGCTGGTATCAGACCCGCTGTCCGCTGTCTCTTTCTTTCTTTTGGAAGTCTTTTCACCGCCATCGCTTTCGGAATCCGAGAGGACCGCGCGTTTTTTCTTCTCGCCTGTTAAGTGTTTCAAATTGCCATGACATCATCCAAGTTGCTTAAGCATTTTTCAATTTAAACAAATTACAACATTTTAATTATATATTTGCAGTGATGAAAGTGATTTAAATCAAAGCAAATCAAACTTTTTTTTTATTCAACATAAATGAAAGTACATACTTGTTGAACGTCAAAAAGAACTGCCGCCAATTCACAAAAACTAGCCTCCGTCCTGAGAAGAATTGGCAAGAAACTCAGCGGGCATTTTTTTTTTTAATATTACATTTTTTTTTAAATATTAATTAGTTTTTTAAGTTAAGCACTACCCCTTGCCATTAGTGATGAAACTTTATGGCCGATAGTTTCAGCCAACCATGAGCACTCATGAACATACTGTTGGTAGCATATTGTATTGGGCATTACATTTACATGTACATGAGTTACAGAAAAAACAAGTTACAATGTAATATTTCAAACTATCATTGTGGCTATGTTGTGAGCATATACAGTTTATTTCTATATAAAATTTACCTATCTCTGCTGAAGCATTTGAACTTTTTGAGCGTGATCGTGAACGGCTTTTTGATTTGGATTTACTTCGTGACTTAGATCTTGAACGCCTCGAACCTGACCTGGAATATTCCAATAATTCTATAACCATCATCGCTTAACTTAATCAGTCACAAATATGAGTAAACCCATCATATTATTAAGCAAAAAAAAAATTACTGGTGGTAGGACCTCTTGTGAGTCCACGCGGGTAGGTACCACCGCCCTGCCTATTTCTGCCGTGAAGCAGTAATGCGTTTCGGCTTGAAGGGTGGGGCAGCCGTTGTAGATGTCCATGGGCTCCAGTAACCACTTTACATCAGGTGGGCTGTGAGCTCGTCCAACTACCTAAGCAATAAAAAAAAATTGCTTTAAAAATTTAGTAGATTAATAGTGAATATTTTTAAATAGAACCAATTCATAAAATTTGTATTCACAAGTCAAAACATATATTAATAAAAATTATATCAGTCAATCTAAATGGCTACACGGAATTAAACTCAAGTCAGTTTTCTCTGTGACCAGACTAGAGAAGTGTCAAGTACATTTATTTTGGACCAGTTAAATTAATCCAAGCATATAGTAAATAGATTCAAGGTAATGGCAGTAAAAGCATGATATATAATGTCTGCTTATAAGGATTGTTCTACTGCTATGTGATTTGTCTTAGATGAAATGATCATTTATTATTATTATTCTAGGTAAAAAATGTAGCTACCTTGATCTACTCCTAGATCTCCCTTTTGATTGTTCATCATCAATCATTAGATTCGGTGAGTTGGATCTGCTGTCCTGAACATCCTGCCTTTGAACTGGGCTCTTTGACTGGAATGACTTACTCCTTGATCTTGATTTTCTTGGACTACCAGTAGCTGATTTGGAGCGGGAACGGCCTTTGGCTGTTTGTGATTTAGGACTTTGGGACCTAGATTTTGGACTTTGTGATCTGGATTTTGGGCTATGAGATCGAGATCTTGGAGTCTGTGCCCCAGACTTTGGACTACCCGACCTTGACCGGCCACTGGCTGAGCCACTTCTAGATCTTGATTGCCGTCTTGAAGCTTGAGACTTAGGACTCGATGAGCCTGACTTATTGCTCTGAGCTGAGCCTGATCTATTAGATCCCGCTGGAGAGTTTGATTTACTTCGTGAACCATTTGATGATCTTTTAGAACGGGCAGAGTGATGCGATTTTGGTGATTCACTGCCTGACCGAGGTGGGCTACGAGACACGGACCTGAAAATAGAGAAAAAATAATTTAACAAACATAAACTTCTTTTTATGTGTTTATGTGTTTGGTACAGCTTCACATATTTATGGTTGTGATGAAATTTCAGATTTCTAAAGGTACTCTGTTTTATTAGTTTACCTCGACTGACTGCCTTCTTTGCCAGAGGGTGCAGGACTTCGGCTTTTACTGCGACTGCCACTACGACTGGAGCCACTTTCGGAATCAGATCCAGAGTCTGTGTCTATAAAAAAAACATTCACACAGAATATAATCGAATCACCACTACTTACTTTTAGCAAACCCATACAACAATGAAACACGTTTAGAACATAAAATTAATATGAAGGAAATAATTATTTTGGTGTTTGCTGTTGCTTACACTAACCTTGCAGTGAATTATTTGCTATTGGCGCCATTTCCGAGTTGTCTAGGCTGTTACGTTACAAAAGGAATCAACTTTTTTCATTCATTTAACTCAACTTAATATTATGTTTCAGTAATTTTTCACTTATTACATATAACTTTTATTAGTTCACTTTAAGGTTATTTATAAACAAATTGTACCACAGTTTGACGTCTACTAATATGTATGACAGTACACTAACGTCATACGTCAGACGTTACAAAGGATTGATTTGATATCTATTACCTCTCTACTCTCCATACGTCTGAATAATACGCTCAACGTTCCAAACCAACAAACTGATAAAAATAAATCCAGCCACTGATTTTCACGTCGGATCTTCTCATTAGGTTGCGATTCTGATCCGGTTGTAGATTCAGGGAAGCACACCTCTTGCTAGGGTCCGTGTTAGAAATTCTTTCAGGTTGAGCCCGTGAGCTCAACTACCGTTCCTCACTTAGTTGAAACAGCCCCTTAAGCTACCAACGATTATCCAGGGAACAAAAAGGTAAAATTTACAAATAACGGACTATTGTTGAATAATGTAAATAAGCGGAATACGATGACTTTAATGAAAAAATGTTTTAAAATATATTAGCAACGTAATGTCACACACCATACACATAAATGTTAAATAAATAAATATTTACTAACAATCACGCCACGTTAACTGGTCCCGTGATAAGTTCGTAAAGAACTTGTGTTACAGGTACCAGATAACGGAAATAAATGTAAGATTTTTATTATACACATACAAATATTTAATATACATCCATAACCCTGGAAAAGACATTTATATTTATTATACAAATATCTTACCTTGGCGGGATTCGAACCCGCGACCCCCTTATGTAGTGACCATGTCACTTACCACTACACCAGACGGCCGTTTTATAATATTATATATATTTAAATTATTAATGTTTCTCAATCGGGCTTAGGAGAATTATCCTATGCCATTATATTAAACATGTGTAGTATACACGTGCCATAGAAACGATCCATCATTGCCATCAGGAGCATTTTATGCTAGATTCAAGCAAGCCAAATTTTATAGATGTATTGGTTTCACTTTATAGCGTAACAAAAAATTTAGCTGCTTTATTCCCCAAAAGAGAAGTTGAAACACTCACAGTCATATGATTTTTTTATTATTGGGCGCAGTAAATGTTTTTTAGTACTATATTTTTTCATGAGATTAGGGGCGAGCTCACTGTGTCCCATTCTCACCCTAAGACAGCACTTGCAGCAGTATGTATATAACACTATTTAGGTCAGAAGATTCGACACTGATAAGTACCTAATAGTCTGCTATTCATCGCCTCCAATAATTAGCTGGATAGGTAAGCAGTGGCGAACCGACTCGATACATACAATAACCGCCTTAATATTAATTAGGCCGAGAGCCTGTCGGCCATCTTCGACTTTAACATAGGAGCTTCGTACATTAAAAAATAATAATATATTATACGATTAATTTGATCATAACTAAAAGCAGAAGATCATTAATTGATAAATGTGTGTTTTTAAGTAGGTAATTCATCATTTTGTATCTACTTATTAAAATATTTTGAAGTATATTAGTATTTTATTGGAATAAATTATGTACTTTTATAATTGTGATTATTTCTGATGTTAAGATGCGTAAACGTAGTATCGCCATAAACCTAAGATATAGATAGATAGATAGCTTTAATCGGTACATAAGATTATTGTTTTAATTCGCTTTTATCATTTATTAAAAGAAACAGAAGTTATTGCAAGAACATTTTTATTTCATATAACAGTGCGTACAGTTTATAAAACTACATTTTATTGAAGATGATAGATACACTAGCACTAACTAACTTTGTACGTCTTTTTAATTGGAAAATATTGTCAGTTTAAACATTGCATAATGTGTGTGCCTTCATTGGTATTGCGTGTTCATTTTCGGATTAATCATTATTTGAAGAAGATTGAGGCTTGGCGTCGTAAATTCGATTGAATGTTACTGTATTACATACTACTGTATAATGTTGGTATTTAACTGTAATTTTTGCGTCTGTTTATACGAGAACATTGCCTGTGAAGGACCTGAATCAAACAGAATATCATTTCAAACTCAATATCTTAAATTCACGTAATATTAAAGTCAATAGTTAGGTACCAATATACAATGTACAAGTTTACCAAATCGGTCGAAATGTACCTACCTACTCTACTTAATTAGGTATGTCTTTGTCATTGACTACGATATTTAACGAGACAGAATCAGGGTACAGTAGTCATAGGTACCTCTGCAACTCAGAGGCCCGAGCGTGCATCTGTTGTTTGGGACTGAATGGGCGATTGAATGGCATTTTTTTTTTGAGTTTTTTCTTCCGATTCTGTTCAGTCGAACGATGGCCGCGGCCGGTAGCGTTTGTGCCGGCCTCATAAGGCACAAGCACATTTTATTACGCGAATTAACCGATACAAATATACTAGATGTTTTAGTTAAGAAAGGAATCTTTAATTTACACGATTTGGAATCGGTAACTAGTGCGGACGAATGTGATAAGTGTAATTATTTCATTGAAGTTGTTAGTAAACAAAGCGGTGCTAAGTTGAATGATTTGTGTGATGTGTTGAAAAACGAATGCCCTAAACTAGCTAAGGAACTTATGAATGACAGACACAGATTCATTGTTAATGGTATGTTAATAATTGTATCTTTATATTAACAACGTTATTTTTATAAGAACTTACTTAGGTAAAATGTTACCGCGACTTAATAACTAAACTAAACTTGGTTTTTTTTTTTATTGCTTAGTTGGGTAGACGAGCTCACAGCCCATCTGGTGTTAAGTGGTAACTGGAGCCCATAGACATCTACAACGTAAGTGCGCCACCCATCTTGAGATGTAATTCCAGTCTCAAGTATAGTTACAACGACTAGCCCACCCTTCAAACCGAAACGCATTACTGCTTGACGGCAGAAATAAGTATTTGACATGTCAGAGCATTAATTGGTTAGACACCCCAATAGAAAATTACTCAAATTGAAACATTCAACATCATATTCGAGGTCTTAGGTAATACCTACATACTTGAAATATTTTGTAAAAAATTATTATTGTATAGATAATTGTTATTGGTTAATATTTCAGTCTAGTCAATACGACTACGACTCGCTAAGGGCTACTACTGGTTTACTCGGTTACTGGTATTAAGGCTACTAGTTTTTTTTAATTCTATTGTGTGGAGATATTTGCATTGTAATGTCCATGGATAATGTCCACCTAATCACTAATGAAGTCGTCTCAACTAAAGCAATAAAAAAAAACACAGTAAAAATTATTATAAATATAACAAGAAACTGGACTGTTGATATTTTAAGTTGTTTTCATAATAAAGGAAGCACGTGCTTTAATACTAAAAATGTTTTCAAATTGTAAATATTGAATTAATTTGGCAATTGAGTTGAAAATCAATCAATGAATGCAATATGTCTTTAAACCCGTTGCAAATCATAAGTTGTGCAACTAAAACACTGGCCAACATAAAAACGGAATACCACATTCTCTAATTGCGTGACATAAATAAAGTACTCGTTTAAAAATTTAACTAACATACGAAATTTCATACAAGCTGACATTCAAAATTGGCAACGGACACGTAAGCAAACCAATTGGTTTTTGATTGATAAATTGCATGACGACCGACCGAAAAATGGGGGGAGAGAGTCTTTTGTGTCGTGCACAAAATAAACAATGATAAATGAACTTTTCGGCAATCATGATAAAGTCTTGATTTGTTTCTCTATGCGGGCGACGGAACCTGGGCCCGTCTGGCGTTTGAAACCGATTCGTGTTCATTCTGAATTCATTCGATGCCGTGCCCACGGTTAATCCCATCCATTATAGTGACGTGCATTCGGTTTTAATTCGATCAAAGTTCACGGCACCGGGAAATTGATTGCTTAATGTGGACAGATCGCTTAAATGGGAACTTTTAATTAGAACCGCTTTTGGGGACTAATCACGTATAGTTTCAATGTACTTAGGCAGCTATTTATGTTGCCATAATGTTTAGATTCTTGCAGTTATTACTGCAGTTTTCGAGAGCGGTTTGTTGACCCGGGGTCCGTATTGCCTCTGAAATGACCTCACGAGAGCCCTGGTGAGAGTCCTTGAGGTGGAAGACGGTGGTTTAAGAGACCCAGTCGTGGCCTAAAGGATAAGACATCCGGTGCATTCGGATCTAGCGATGCACCGATGCTCGAATCCCGCAGGCGGGTACCAATTTTTCTAATAAAATACGTACTTAACAATTGTTCACGATTGACTTCCACGGTGAAGGAATAACATCGTGTAATAAAAATCAAACCCACAAAATTATAATTTGCGTAATTACTGGTGGTAGGACCTCTTGTGAGTCCGCACGGGTAGGTACCACCGCCCCGCAGACTGCCGTGAAGCAGTAATGTGTTTCGGTTTGAAAGGTGGGGCAGCCGTTGTAACTATACTGAGACCTTAGAACTTATATCTCAAGGTGGGTGGCGCATTTTACGTTGTAGATGTCTATGGGCTCCAGTAACCACTTAATATCAGGTGGGCTGTGAGCTCGTCCACCCGTCTAAGCAATAAAAAAAAGACTGCCCTAAACTCTTAATCCGAATGCGAATCTTAAAATCTTTCCTCAACTTTTTTTCCATCTCATAAATCCATAATGTTACACAATGTCCTAAACATTTTGTCATTAATGGTACTACATCACGATATAGTTTTTTTTTTATGAATGAGGGTGGTTACTGGTGGCCCGGAGGCCTCTCCAGTTTCACCAGGATAGGTGGACGAGCAAAGGCTCAGCCAAGAGGGTGGAATTAGCGTACAGCTGCCCAGGCGCGTCCGAAGGGGTCCTAATAACTCGAGAGCAGTTGCTTCGCGATTGGTTAGGTTAGATTGCACGTCGCACTCTTTGCCGAGTTCGACGAGTACGGTTACCGGGGTCCCTAAATCTGCTCCTAATGTTAGAGCTGAAGGCGTCTAATGCAATGGTTATTGGATCTGCTGGTTCCGTAAGGACCTGTTCAAGATATAGTATAAACGAACCAAACAACAAAATCCTTAGTGACCACACTTCAATAAGAGACGTGACTGTGTATACAGAATAATACTTCTTGTTGAATGTCGTCATCATTTATCAGTTACTTATATAAATCTACTGTCAGATTCCCGAATGCAATCTAAAGAATGAATCAGAAAGTTGAAAAGTTATAATTGTGGAACGTCCTAATGGAGACAATAAAGTGAAGACGTTCAATTTGTGTTAAAATGACCAATTTCGCAGTACGAGTATTATATCGTTATTATTTGTAGCCTGCTGAACTATCAAGGTCTGAGAAACTTTATCTAAGTATCCGAATTCAGCCGTTTCGGCCAGTACTTCGATAATAAAAAATAGGTAACTACTTAATCTAGAATAACGATCTAAGTTTTATGTTTCACTAGCTATTTTTATGACCGAAGACGACTGATCATGAAAACAGATCATCTTGTGTTTTGATAATTGAAAGGGGACATGACGGGCTTACGTTAAAAAATTGCCGCGCAAATTTGAAAAAAAATGGGGAGACGCGCTAACCACAGATCATGCACTAATACACGATTAACGAGATATGACGTCTTACGTCAAAATATCAGGATTATCCGATTTTATAAAAATATTCATAGAATTTTCGTTTTAACTTAATTAAGACTAGCGACCCGCCCTCGCTTCGCTTCGGAAACATTAAAACACACATGAAACCAAAAAAATAAAATAAAAAAAAAATTAAAAAATGTAGCCTATGTTCATCAGCGTCGATCAACAATAGTAACTATTGTTGATCGAAGTTCATCAGGGACAATGTCGGCTTCTAATGGAAAAAGAATTTTTCAAATCGGTCCAGTAGTTTCGGAGCCTATTCGAAACAAACAAACAAACAAATCTTTCCTCTTTATAATATTAGTATAGATCACAAAGAACTGCCTTTTAATGTGTTTAGGCATGGCTACTGCGTAAGATTAGGAAACTTGATTTATATGATAATTATTAATATTTAAAGCTTTCAAAGCCTAGCCTTTTAGGTCAAAACGACTTCAAACGTCCATGCAAGTTCAAAGCACGCGCTACCACCAATATTCGAGATAAGGATAAAGTGAGAGTTAGATAAGAAAACAAGATTAGGACATTGCTACTAGAAGCTGGTNTTTAGGCATGGCTACTGCGTAAGATTAGGAAACTTGATTTATATGATAATTATTAATATTTAAAGCTTTCAAAGCCTAGCCTTTTAGGTCAAAACGACTTCAAACGTCCATGCAAGTTCAAAGCACGCGCTACCACCAATATTCGAGATAAGGATAAAGTGAGAGTTAGATAAGAAAACAAGATTAGGACATTGCTACTAGAAGCTGGTGTAGCTCGAGGAACCAAGGTCATTAACCCCCATCTTCTAACGGCCGGGTAGACCATTCTATCGTAAGACTGTCAGTCCTAGTTGCTTTTTGGATATCAATATATTAATAAGTGAAGCAAAAACTTTGTACCCCTTTTTATGCAAATTGCGCGTACGGAGGAGTATAAAATTTCCCACACTTATAGAGAATATAGAGAAGGAGTGCAGAATGCTAATATATTTTAAAAATTATGCATTAATAATACATTATTTCGATAAAAAAAACATTACACAACTACCATGTATTTGACACACATACATATATATACATATATGTATACTATTTATTTACTGTCAAACTTTTGTCATGGCATTAAAGTCTGTGGTCAAAATGAGAATAGATTACATAATATTGTTTATCTTTATTAATATTTGTCTATAGTTAAGTCTTGGCGAAATCTGTGTTTATAGAAGTATGATAGTCTTTGACAATAGGATTAATTATAGTTGAATTTCGATTACTGCGGGACCACTAGTTTTTAGTAATCTACCAGAATCTAACTTAAAAAAAAAACGGTTTGCACTGCACTCATTTGACTACAAACAGATTAGGTTCTGTCAGATGTTTAAGTTTTATTTATTTCAAATACTGAAGTTTCTTGTGGAATACACACACATAAAATATTTCTGTTTTATTTCGAACAACCGAGTTCAATGAACTCTTCGCTAAGCCTTGTGTTATTGTTCCAAGAATCACGTAAGGTGTCGTTTCCGTTTGCCTCAGAATAAAACTAATGAACCCTTTGTCTGTTTCTAAAATAAAAACTAGACTTTTTTTTGTTTCGTCCTGTTTACATGGACATTATTCCTTTTTTTGTTTAGGGATGTTTAAGTCTACGGCAGTTACATAACCCAATGTGTTTCTCGCCGGTTCTTCACAAATGGGTCGCGATTCCGATCCGATGGTAGATTCTGCAGTGCTCTTACTAGGGTCAGTGTTACCACATTCTCTAAGGTTGAGCCCACGAGTTTACCTACCAGTCCCAGCGTAGCTGTAATAGCCCCTAAGGCTACTAACGAACGGGTAATGAAAAAAGTTATTACTGTTATATTTTACTCGACTTGCTTCTAAAGGAGAAATAATACAAAATTTTGACAAATAAAATCATACTTCAATAGTATAAAATTAGAATATTATCAGCACAGTTGAAGTCAATTAAATATGTATTATTAAGGGCAATTCTAAAACTACAGATCAGATCTTGATAAAGTT